ACTTTGCTGGCTGGTCCCCATCACTCACCCCTGTGCAAAGTGACTGCTCTCATGGTGGGAGCTCTTTATGGACTTTTGCTCACAAAGCCCACATATAAACACAAGTGAGCACAAGGGAAAGGGCAGTGGAAGTCTGTCCCTTATGACTTGTGGAAATAATCTATGACTTTTTTTCTTGTTTGTCCTCATGTGCCTTGCTGTCTGACATTGTCTTTATGCATACTGTTCTTCCTCTTTCCATGCCCCCTGAAATGGTTTTCCCAGTCTGTTCTCCATTTCCCTTCTATCATCGCAAGGTTAGGAAAGCAGAATGATCTAAGATAGGAGATGGAAATTCTCCTGGCAGGGGTTGGGGAGGAACCAAGAAGAGGAAGCCTGCCTGAACTGAAAGGCACTCCATGGGAGATCGGCACACTACTCTAGGCATCTATCCACATCTTTAGATGCCTACATACTTCCACGTGCTTGAATCCAGTTCAGATTCATACCTAACCCTGTAAATCTCAGGTCATCCCTGAAAACAGCTTGTGATTTATGGCTCCTGTCTTTTTTTTATTTTAAGAAAATAGAGAAAACTTTTTAAAGAAGCTTGTACCAGATGCATAGGGACAATTGTATCCTGAGTCTTCCAGTGTTAAATCCTGGTCGTTTTTCACTATATTGCAAGCAAACATATTATTGTCTCCACGTTAATAGCCAACTGTAAGCAAATGGCCTAGCTTCTCGGCTCTCTGTCAAGACAAATTCTGTCAGGTTTCATTTATTTGTGCATTCTGATACAGCTGGCAGTGAAACTGCTTTGCCTGCCAGCCCTTATGTTAAAATTCTCCCAAGCTGAGTCAGACTATCTCACTGATGCACACTTTGACCATCTTTTAGGGCATTTTTAGGTAAAAAACACCCCCTAAATAATGGGAATGGCTGGAACCAGAGAGACTATGTTTCAAGTCAGACACTGAGAAATAAAATGTCTTCCAATCCTTTGATATTTTGAAAATCAAACACACTGAACTTCTGGTCTTGATTATAAGTGCTCTATTTATCATGAATGCTTGAGATGTGGTTGAAGAATCTGACTGCATTCAATGTAGTTACGAAGGAGACTGTTAAAACATGACTGACTATAAACTTAAGTAAGTGAGACTGTTAAATGTCAACATTACTAACAAGGCCTTTAAAGATTGGGTTTTTTTCAGAAATACTTAGCAAATGTTCCTTCCTACTGTCTGACTGATCCCTTCAGACACCACCAGCCATTCTGGGACAGGGCATCAAAAGTTAAAATTGCTCAAAAAGTGTCAGGTCACTCTTCCCTTCTTACACATGGGAAGTAAAGACAGTATAAAGCCATGTGAAGATTGCTGGATTGTGTAGTTAAACTAAGGAGTGTGGTGTTGGCCAGCTGTGGTCTTGATTCCTTAGAGTAAGGCATGGTCTTATGGGTGGGTGTCTGGAACTGCAGCATAGTTCCCCACAACAAAAAACAAGGTGAGAGATGCATAAACCTGTGCCTGGCTAAAGGTGAATGATCAATGTAAAATACCTGGGAAAGAATCTATAATTAAGACTATATTTTTAATAGCATAAATATCATACAGTACAAATAAACTGCAGAGCCTAAATAAATAAACTGCAAGCCACTGATTCTGAGGCTTTGTAGAAAGGTTAGTGGTGGTGGCTTGATGTTAAAGACTCTCTGCCCAGCACCTAGCTTCAATGGGAATGTATCATACGAAGTGTCTTCTCAAGGTAGATCATAGATTCATAGAATTACACAATAGTTTTGGTTGGAAAGGACCTTTAAAAGTCATCTCAAGGTAGATCATAGATTCATAGAATTACACAATAGTTTTGGTTGGAAAGGACCTTTAAAAGTCATCTCAAGGTAGATCATAGATTCATAGAATTACACAATAGTTTTGGTTGGAAAGGACCTTTAAAAGTCATCTAGTCCACCCCCCTGTGCAATGAACAGGGACATCTTCAACTAGATCAGGTTGCTCAGAGTCCCGTACAACCTGGCTTTGAACACTTCCAGAGACGGGGTATCTACCAACTCATAGGGCAACCTGTTCTGGTGTTTCACCACCCTCACTGTAAAAAATTTCTTCCTTATATCTAGTCTGATGTATGTACCTGAATGTACCTGATTTTAGTTTAAAACCATTACCCTTGTTCTGTTGCAACAGGCCCTACTAAAAGTCTGTCCCCATCTTTCTTATAAGCCCCCTTTAAGTACTGGAAGGCCATAATAGGGTCTCCCCCAAGCCTTCTCTTCTCCAGGCTGAACAACCCCAACTCTCAGCCTGTCCTCACATGATAGGTGCTCCATCCCTCTGATCATTTTTGTGGCCTCCTCTGGACCCACTCCAACAGGTCCATGTCTTTCGTGTGCTGAGGACTCCAGAGCTGGATGCAGTACTCCATATGGGGTCTCACCAAGCGGAGGAGAGAATCACCTCCCTTGACCTACTGGCCACATTTCTTTTGATGCTTCTTTTGATTTTTTAGCTCTATCACCTTAACAGACTGCAACAAGTTATTAGGTCCAGAACAACTTTTTAAGTATTTTTCCAATATCGAATGAATCAGATGGTCTTTTGAGTTTATCCACAAGCACAGATTATGCTGCTTGTGCAGCGCGAACAGTGACAGAACAAATTAATCTGCCACACTCACTTAGAAAAGTGGTTCCAGAAATCACTGCACATTAGAATTGATCAGCATGTCCATCGTCTTCCAGTGAATGCCTTGGCATGAACTCTTGCTCTACCTAGAGGATTTGGAACCTATTGAAATGCCATTTTCTAAACTTGGAATAACTATTATAATCCTGTATTCATATCGTTCTTGTTATTATTTTTGGTGATGGTTTTGATGAATATGATTGTTATTGCTGTGACTAAGAATACCATGTGCTTGTTCTGGCTTTCAGTATTTTGAAAAAAAGAGCGAACTCCTCAACTCTTGTTTTTCTCTGAAGAAAAATTATTTGGCATTTAAAAATGACATTGTTTCCTAACCCAGTTTATGGACAAAAGTTTGTATCTTTGAAAAGGACAACCAGAAGCCAGGACCAAAGTGTAATTTATGACTCACATTCTGCCTGCCCGTTAACTCTCTGTGATCAAGTATTTCACTGCAACATAGGTGACTCCTGAGAAAGTGCTCTGGGAGGTCTATTCCACCTTCTAGCTTCACAAGCTCGGGTGAACTGAAATCTCTGATTTTGGCCTTCTAATGCAGTCTGAAATTTCAAAAGCACAGCCATATGTTATCATTCACATTTACCATTACATTTTCCCTTTTAGAGAACTCATCAGGAAACAGGGGGCATGGGTTCAGCACTGTACATCCTTCCTTTGTCTGAGGAGATTCACACTTTCCAAGAGACTGCTGCAATAACAGAGGTACCTTCCACCTCTCCTTTTAAAACTGGATCATTACACAGGAAGAAATGCAAGAGTCTGAAGCCAAAGGGCAAGAAAAGTCCTGATGCTGTGGCCTAATGCATGGTTTCCCAAATGTCATTTGTTGGGTACCACTGTAGGAAGCAGCCTTCTGTATTCTCCCCAAGCCTAAATTCAGGACTGTAAACATCATCACCTGAACATTATCACTATTTCCCCCCAATCCCAGCTCTGTTGTTCTTCCTGCAGTTCTACCATTCTGCCTCACAGACTCATCACTCCTTAAGACGCCCATCCCACAGCTGAAAGCTCCACATATTCCCCTCTATGCCTTCTTCTTCCCAAACTGTTTCTCCAGCCACAATGCCCCAGCGATCTAAGGCACATCCCCTTCTCAACAACCCCATTCCTCTCACCTTCCCCAGATGACTTTTTTCCCATGGCCTTAGCAGAAACACATGTCCCAGACTAATTAATTTCCTGTAGGCACATAAGAAGAGCAGAGGAAGCCTGGGAGGTGGAGACAGCTTCACGCATCAGTAAGTTACTGGCCAGCCAGTGACAGGAACAACTGCGTGCAGGCTCCTACTCTGATTTGTAAAAGATCCTGGACACAGGCAAAACCAGCAGTTGTTGAAGTTGTTTTTATTTGGCTTACATGCAACACAATGTGGGAACATCCAGCCTACTGATTCAGACTTCCATCTGGCAAAGGGCAGTTTTTGTTCCAGTCCTTGATCCTTAGGTCGTGTCTGCTTCTTATCCATCAGCTTTGTGTAAAATGCACATGCAGTCTTAGGCATGAGCTCCTTCCAAGCTGCTCCCTCCTAGCTATGTGCTTGAAGTTGTTCTTCTCCACAGAGCGCTTTGTTGTTGCTGATTTAAGTCCTATGAAAATCCACCGGCTTTATCTGGGTACACTCAGTAGTACGTAAGAGCAAATGTCACTGTGAAGTTTGTGCTTGTAGCTAACTACTGCCTTGGAGTTATCATTTGCTGCTCTGCTGTAATGTTAAGCATTCATATGTTAATCCACTCTTGGAGGCTGTTGTGCCTGACTGTACTGTAAGGCTTTATCAAATGACAGCAAAATTAATAGTTTGGTTTCTGCCAATTTGATACAAGATGCTTAATATGAAAAGCAGAGTATACATCACTGAAGGGAATTTTTGAGCACTGCATATTTCTCTCTAACTACAATATTTTCATGCTTTTTTTCTGTATTGCCATTGTTACCAAGACAGTTTCTAATTTTCTATTCTGTAAAACAGAAAAGATTCTTCATAAAGACTGTGTATGTGTATATGCTGGTGTTTTTCCCTGATGAATAGATTTGACCATGCCATATACCAGCTGAAATATCATGAACTGCAAATAAATGTAATAGTTTGCGTTTTTAAATCAGTCAGTCAATGCCAATCAGTATCACAGAGAAGAGAATGGGAACAGCAATTTTTAGATTAATTCACTTTGCAACTTCTTTAACTGAGTTTGAGAATGAATCTTCAGTTTCACTGTAAAATAAGGCAGATGGTATTTCACAGATATTTTTCTGAATCCTCCACTTCATTTCTTCTTTTGTCCCCATAGAAACCAGTGGACTCCAATTTCCTTGAATGCTGTAAATTAGCTCTGAAGGAATGGACAACTCCAACAAAAAAACCCACACAAGACTTCTGAGAAGCCAACAAGGGAACTAGAAAAAACAGTTTAACTTGCAAAATCTCATCTGACCCATGACTGACACTCTGTTAATGCAACAATAATTTAAGACACCTTTGTACGTCAGGTACTGAAACTCCTCAGAATGTTACTGTTTGTACAGTGCTTTTTTCTTCAGTCTCCCAGTATATAGTGGAACAGAGAAATCCCATTTACATTCAATTGTTTATGAAAAAACCCAAATACTATATATAATGCTTTAAACAATTTTCTTGCAAGATACCACAACACAGTTCATTTCATATGACAGGCTTAAAAAACCTAACCTGTTGGCAGCCCATTCACACACCATCTGTTCCCCGCAGGGCAGCTGCCTGATTCAACCTGACCGATTAGGGGGACATGGTTATTTGTGCTGTGGTAAACTCGCTGACTGGTATCCTTTCTGCAGGCTCAGCAAGTCTGTGCTGCAGTTATTGAGGCTGGAGATTCATTTACAACCATAAGGGCAAATTTCAAAATTAAATCAAGGTGTTTGTCCTCCCTAGAAGAGACTAATCCTATGTGCACATCCTCCTAGAAAAAATGTAACTCCCTCCAGCAAGAGGGATTTTCTCTGTAAAGCTTATACAGGTCCCAAAGACAAAATAAACTATGCAAGCAAAGGAAAGCAAAGGACTTTGCATTGAAAAATACAGATTCTAACGTGTCAAAATTTGGTCCAAAAAGGCTGGTATTCACCAGTTATCCCATGTCAGTGTACAGGCTACTTGAAAGACATACAGTAACCTATACAGTGGACAGAAAAACGTTCAACCTGGCAGACTTTCCTCCTTGCCTGCTACATGGATTCTGGTAATGCAGAAATCCCAGGTTGATCTCTGCACATGTACCTGTGCATAATGCACTGTAGTGTCACACTCATTAACATATTCAGAGCCAGCTGCATGTGACTAGAATGCCATAATATGCATAAATAGTCTTATCTGTATGTATTTTTTCCAGATCCAAGGATGTTTGTGTTACTTTACATTACAAGTTTTGCCATCTACACAAGCGAACAACCTCTTCAAGGCCAGCTCAAAGGAGAAAATTACTACACCAGATACATTTGTAGCATCCCTGGTTTGCCAGGCCCTGCGGGTCCCCCCGGAGCTGGTGGATCCCCGGGGCCACACGGACGCATTGGTCTTCCAGGAAGAGATGGTAGAGATGGCAGGAAGGGAGAAAAAGGTGAAAAAGGGAGCACAGGTATTGAATATTTGTGTAACCTAACACAGTAGTTCAACAAAGTGAGACCTTTCATCATCACTATTATACATACACACACACACACACACACACACACACATATATATATATATATATATATATATATGATGAATGTGTGTATGTACCTGTGCGGGTTTAAGTGTGATGCATGTATACATAGTGAGAGAAAGAAAATATGCAGAACTATTTTAGATATGTCTAATATACATATACGGAAATCTGTGTAAATAAATGTAAATGCATAATCTTCCTGTGCATAGATGATAAGAAAAAGTTTGGGAAACATTAAGCATGTGTAGTGTCAAATAAATAGCTTCATTTGTGCCGTTATCCAGGAATAGAAGATTGGCAGGTATTTAGACACACACTAAAAATGCTCAAATGCCAGGAGATATTTAGTGTAAAAGTATCATTAAATAGCTAGCTACACCACTGTCCTTCCTGTCAGCAGTGCCCATAGTTCAGTCAGCAACGGATCAATTCCAAATAAAATTCTTCAATGTGTGATCAAGACATATGAAGAAAAGTAGGAATATAGGAACAAAGGACTCCCGGGCTGTGGTGTCCAGTCCTCTGTTCCAACCTGCCATTGCTTTCATAAACTTACTAGAAGATTCTGAAAGTATTTTTGGAGTATTTTGAAATTCTGATCATGTATTTCTTGTTTGTTGAGGCACACACAGTAGCCCACACAATCACTTACTGAGATGATATGTACAACAATTAACTAACTTAAAATGTTTTTGAAGGTTTAAGAGGAAAGACTGGGCCATTAGGACCAGCTGGAGAGAAAGGAGACCAAGGTCAGTCTGGTAAAAAAGGACCTGGAGGATTGACTGGTGCCAAAGGTGAAGTAGGTCCAGCTGGACCACCTGGACCTAAGGGAGATAAAGGAGACCGAGGAGAGCCAGGTGCTCCAGGGGTCTGTAAGTGTGGAAAGATAGTGCTGAAATCGGCCTTTTCTGTTGGCATCACCACCAGCTACCCAGAGGAAAGATTACCAATTGTATTCAATAAAGTCCTCTTCAATGAGGGGGAGCATTACAACCCTTCTACAGGGAAGTTTATTTGTGCCATCCCAGGGATTTATTATTTTTCTTATGATATTACCTTAGCAAACAAGCATCTTGCAATTGGACTGGTTCACAATGGGAAGTACCGGATAAAGACATTTGATGCAAACACAGGCAACCACGATGTAGCTTCTGGATCCACAGTGATCTACCTTCAGCCAGAAGATGAAGTATGGCTTGAGATCTTCTACACTGACCAAAACGGTCTCTTTTCTGATCCAACATGGGCAGACAGTTTGTTTTCTGGATTTCTCTTATACGTTGATACAGATTACCTTGATGCTTTATCGGATGAAGATGAGCTCTGAAGCAGATGATGTCTAATGGCATTCAAACTGGATACCCCAGGACAGGATCTTATGTAGCTGGGAGGGGCACAAAGTTGAAAAAAAAAATAATCTGGGAGATTATTTTTGCTTTGATAGGAACCAAATCTGAGCTCCTAACAATCTTTCTAGAATCCAAGCTGGATTTTTTATCCAACAGCAGGGATATCAAAAGGAACTGCAATCAACAAAAGACTGAATCACTCCAGGAATGACTCCTGAAAGTTACTTTTATAATACTATTTAAACAAATTTAAGATACTGTACATTGGATTTTATGTAAAATATATTAAGTTGCAATGTAGAATGGATATTTTGTATATGATATTAAAGTAAAATTGAAAAATTGACAACAATATCATCTTTGATCATTTTAAGACAGGAAATACATTAAAAATAGAGAAAACATTGATTTCTAAAAAGGAGAGGAATAAAATAGGAATGTCCATTTCAGGATGCCAGATCACAAGGACAGTCCCATCTGACATTAACAAATGGTATTCATAATCAACTAACTTTCTAATAAATACATGAAGATTTGTACTAGCTGAGGATTGCCCGATTACAGTCATAAAAGAACAGAACAAAGGTATTAAACATATAAAATAATTAAAAACTGGGAGGTCTTAAATATTGGAGTTAGACAATCAGTATTAAAGGTGGGTATTTTCAGTGTAATTCCAAGTGGGTTTGCTATTTTTTTCAATGCTATTTATATCTTTATGATAAATGTGGAAGAAAATATAAACTTTTTGCTGAAGGAAACTATGGATGCCAAAAAAATGATAGAACAATAACCAGTAATGAGAATAAATTATATGGAACAAACCAAGTCACATCATTAAAGCAGACTTACTTATATGGCCAAATGCAATGAAATAAATGTAGGTGACACACAAGATGAAAAACTGCATTCATGAAATCAGTGAACTTGGAAAAGGTGCATGGGACTTCATGGATAATCAGCTAAATATGAGTCATGAGAGTAGGCTGCTGCTACAGCCCTTTGGATGTATGATAAACAGAATTACAAATAGGAGTAAAGAATAGTTACTTATGAAGCTTTTACTTCTGTCAGTTTCAAAAACTTACTTGAAAATTTAAAAAAAAATGGTTGCAATTCTACCACTTCAGATTACACAGGGTCAATTTATTTTTATTGTCAATGAAGTTAAGAGGTGTATTGATCACAGTTTGCAACTACCCATCTGGAGAAAAAATTTCTGGCAGTAGCTGCCACTTTTTTCTATCAGATAGGAGCGCAGCAAGATCCACCAGTGAGAAACTGTATCAATTCCCACTAGAAATGAGGAACCCATTTTACCAGTGGTGATAATCAATCATTGTAAAAATATCTAGGAACATCATGAGTTCTCCAGCTTTCAACACCTTTAAATCAAGTCTGGCAATCTTTAATTGGGTGCTCTTACTTTCCAAGAATTTACAATCTTATTTTACTCATGCTAGATTTACAGAAACCTGCTGTTTCTAACAGTTATTCAGATACTTTCAAATGCTGGTGGTCTGTGCTGCAACTTCTGATTCCACTTTATTTATGACCAAGGTGGAGGGAAGTTTCTTGGTTTCTTCTGTGTAATTTACTCAGTTAAGAAAATTACAACCAAAGAAAATTACACAAAAATACCACTGAGATTGCAAAATGAGCACTACAGTTATGCATGGAACATTAATCTATGCACCCTGCATCTGTGCCCCCATTTTCCCACGCATTAACACGGACATCTTTGAGTACGATTGCTGCTTTATGCAGTGAACAGGTGCACAGTCCTGTCCACAAATCAAACTGTCAATGCCTGTACAACCCTTATTTTATTTGACAGTGAGAGATGTGTGGTAGAAGACAAAAGTGGATTATTTTTCTAACTAGACATCTGATTTATTCCTGTTATACAAGGGCTGCTTCCTGTGAAAAATATGGAACAGAACACTTTTAGATTCAGTTTATCACCGTGCTGTACAATCATTTATACATCTGCAAACTAAGCACAGTATGAGTGCAAAACGCAGCCCAACCATCATTTACAACAATGATTGATGCCAATGCTTCACAGACATCAGTTCCTATACAAGGCACAAAGACTATCGGCATCACTCGGTGCTGTCTGCACTGAAATTCCACAGGACAGAGCAGACAATCATATTAGGCCCATGACTTCCAGGAAACATCATTCAATAGATACAGGATTGGACCTATAATACGTCTTATAGAGCACAAGCAGCTAATAGAAGTATTTAATTACATGTTTATTTAAAAAATATGGAAATAGGTTTGTGATATTTGAATAGAAAGTTTATGTTAGGAGTAACAAGTCAATTTTTATTAGAATTAGAAAATCTCTAAAGCCAAACTTAAGAAAATAGTATGACAGATTTTATTCAGACTCTACAGAAGTGTATTTGGTAGTTACAATAAATCTGGAAACTTTCAGACAAAACTAATTTTTCACAACTGGACAGAGAAAATATAGGGCTTTAATAGTGAAATTTTTCTGGTTGCAATCTTAACTAAAAGCAAACTGCTTCCATGTAATAATCTTGTAAAAATGAATAAAATATAAAAGAGATATTTTAACCACACCTATGTTGAAAATGACATCATGGGAATAAGTAAACTAAGAGTTATTTCTTCCCTTTACTTATTAATTTTAGATTTATGTTTGTATATTCATAGAAAAGTCATTTTAGCCTCCCTAAGTTTTCCCATTTGGATTCTGTAGTTATCTGAACAGTTTAATATTTTGGCATGAACTGTGAAAATAAGTAATTCTGTTGAATTATTCCTAGAGGTTTTGGCAAGAATCTTTTTACTACATGTATGGACAACATATGTATACAAGTAGCATGTGTCCCTGCCCTCATTCAGGATCTTAAGACATTATCCTAAAGTAAATCATAGTTATTGCTATTATTTTACTTGAAAATAGATCAACTTTGATGACATGATATTTCACTAGGAGTATTCATCTGTCTAAATTTGAATTTATATGGAAAATATCTTGGGATGAAGTCTTCCCACTATCTATGCCAGTAGGTGGGGAGGCCTGGATTGGTTTCAAGATGTTGTAGGATAACAAAGAGCAAAATCTCCTTGGGATTAAATTTGAAATTAAAAAAAGGTTTCTACACAATATATATGTAATTCTACACATGCCATAGTGCCATATAAAATTAGGCATTCAGACCAAGTTAGTCATCTAGGCTTTGCCTACAGTCAGCAGAAAGAAATTAGTATCACCCAGGAGGGGTAATTAGTAACTGCCAGGAGGAAGCGTGTCTCTGCTGCAGCACCAACTCTTGGGCTTCCTGACTGAGACTGCAAGAACTCATACAAACCTGAGTCCACCAGAAAACCTTCAAATGATATTAAGAAGATTAGTGTTCCTGAGACTCATAAGTAAAAAATATATATATTCACTTGGGATATATGTGTGTTAATATGCACATGTAAAAATAGAGCTATTTGAAACAAAATAGCTCCCCACAATCTTTTACTATTTCAGATTTTCTTTTCACTTGGTAGAGTGACATCAAGGAAGAAGTCAGTCACATGTTTCACTGCTGAACATTTTTAACTTAGATAACTAATTAATCATTAAACTTCATCTTCAAATTGAGATAAGTACATTACTTTGAATAAAAACCTTCACTTTCTTCACTACTGGTATTTATGTCCCTATAGTTTAGACTGTTATACAATTTTTTCAGGAGCAATAGGTCCTAAAAATTTTTTTACTTTGCTCAGACTATATGAAGCAAATAGTTACTAAGGGATATCAGCACTGAGAACATTATCTACATTCTTCAAATCTATTTAAATCTATCTAATACCACATATGTATTTTGGGGTAGGTAAAAATATATAAAACTCATAAGCAACTTATTTAATTCCTTACCAAGTATGTTTCATTAGTTGGTGCAGTTCAAATACTACTTTATTTTTATTTACCTTCCACATGTCACCCACTAGGTTCAGTTCATATTCATTCACTAAGACATTCACTGGATAATTTACTTTTCACCAATTGGTTTAATTTATCCATTGACAGGTAATTAATACTCAGGATAACTATACTGATGCTATACTAGGCAATTTGGTCAGTAGGAACTTCGGTTTTATGTGGAAATGTAGCTTACCTTATATATGTATTTCAGTAGGTGATGAATCCCATCCAAGAAATAATACATGAGAGTAAAAAGGAGAAAAATAAGAGTTGAGAAAGCAATATACCATAATCTTTCTCAATGAGTAATACATTGCTTCCAAGAGGCAATTTATTCCTTTCAGTATAAACCATTTAGACTTCAGCTCAGAAAGCATTTAGAGGTTACATTCACTTCCCTGTTAACTCCTTAAGTCAACACTCCGAAGTGAGGTTATGTCAGTATTTCTGAATTTCATAGACATGATTCTTCCTCACATCAGCATGAAGACATTTGCAAGTACTCTCACAAAATTATCAGACTCTGATACTTGGGTTTGTCCTAGCTGCATATATCAGATCAATTAATCAAAGTTACTACCTAAAGCAAAAGAAAAATTAATTAGACATATTATATGCATATCTTTTAACAGTAAATAAATGCAAAGAAAAAGTGTTTTGGATTATTTAGCTTATATCCCTCAATTCTGAGTATAATTATTTTGGTATAATCCAGCAGCTACCTGCTGGAAAATGTCTAAGGAGATTTTTCCTCTATGCAGATGGTTCTTGCAGCAGCAAGTATTAGTATAAAATTTATCTTATCTGACTTTAATCTCCAAAAGGTCAAAGATCATTTCCTAGGCTAAATTAGTTGCTAGCTCTCCTGTCATCAGTACAAAGAAACATATGGGGTAAATTTCTGTTTGGATGACACTGTATCAGACACCTACTTGAAGGAGGAATCTCCTCACATTACCTGTATCTATGTGACTAACTTAGGTTCGCCTTTAACTTTGAGATAGCAAAAGTTAAATAAGACATCTGCTCTTAGAGAACAAACCGCTAAGTGGAAAAATTTATAAATTTGACAATTTATATATCTCACAGTGAGAGAGAAGATGCAGATTGATGAGAACACAGAATTACCCTTATAAAGATGGAAGTGACCTCTTGACAAACTTTTTGTAAAGTACTGCTCAAGTTCCTCATGGGACAACTTCAATTGCAGTAACTTGGCTGTCCTCCAGAAAATTTTACTGTGTACTAAGGTGGGCTAGATAATCCTCTCATGCCTCCAAATTCAGCACACTTAAGTATATAAAATTATTGAAGTTTTTAAGGATACTTAATTTTAGGTCCAGAAAACCTGAATGTATCCTGGACTGTTTCTACTTATACCAAAAAATTATAAATTGGTTTCTTTTCAACTTTAAAGCACCTGCCAAAATCCTAAACACAATGCGAAACATAACACAATATTTGTAAAGTCATCTCTGTGAAACAATAGCCTTGTTTATGTGATGTTAACAAAGGGACAAAAAATACTGAATTATTGAAGAACATGAATGAACTAGGATTCTCAGCGGTCTCTAAAGTGAATTTTTAGCAAGAAGCAGATGAGATTTCTAGAAATGAGTGAATTGTATGATGAAAATCTTCCAACAGTCCCTTTTCTTTCTATACTTTCAACAAATTGTTATCCTTAGGCTCAGAAGACAGTGGAAAGGATTTAAAATTTTTGAGTTGAAGAATAAGCTCTTTAATCATCTGAAAACTTGCCCATCACTGATGCTGATGTCCCTTCCATGTACCACCTGCATTCACCCACACTCTGTCAGATGTTCTGGTACGTGAACATGGATTTCTAAACAACATGTGACAAATTTCAGTAAATGTTATTTGTGATTTCTGTCATGTTAAGAGTAAGGTGCTATCAGTTTAAAATAATCAAGATGAGCAGAGTTTGTTCTTCCTCATTTGTAGCTTTCCTGAAACTAGGATCACTGTAGAGTTGCACATAGCACTTGAAATTCTTATTCTAAGAACACAGCAACACGTACTCTTGTTCTGTAAATGTTGTACATGGTTTTTAAGATTTGTAGTTCTGATTCTATTTTTATTTGGTTTTACAAGTTTTGGCTTTGATTCTAGGCAAATAAAAAGAGGCATGTCTGGTAATCCAAACCTTACATTATCCTCAAAGCCTGAGAATAAACTCTATCATTCATTGCCCACTATTCATTTTAAAACTGTTTTAATGCTGAACTTGGGGTCTGTGATCCCTTAGCCTGCCCGCTCCTGGGGCAGCCTGCACCATGGTCACTACGAGCTGCCTGTGCTAAAAGCCATCCTTGATCACCATTGACAAAACAACGGTTTACGCCCAAGTGTGACAGTGTCACATCTAGCAAAGTAGAGCTGCTCACATCATCTTATCTGGAGCACTAAATCTGCTGTCCAGTGTAATCAATGACATTGGGCTTGCCTTTGTTTTTATAATGCTGACCAAGGTAGATGAGTTGTTCTCTGCCCCAGGAAACATATGTGCTTTGAATTCTGTATGCCTCCTGTGAGTAGAGTCATTGTACTGATACGTGTTTTTAAGCAGCTTTCCGCCATGTTAAGCAAAGGTTCCCCACTGCTCCTTTAGAATTAGAATTATATTCTAATATATTCCTTTATAATTAGAATTAAATTGTAATGTTCCTTACATAATGCTGCTCGTATTTGTCCGTCATTTAAACTGTTTGTAGAACTGTTTCTGAGACTGGAATAAATTGTTGGGACATAGACTTATCAGCAAAACAAGATGATGAACCCGAGTCCTTGCCAAAGCTTTGTGTGAAGGTTCACCCACTGGACCATTTTCACAGTCCCACATACAGTGAGACTTAGCAGCTAACAGAGATTGTGTACTGTATATGTTACCCTAGGAAATGTGTCTTCTGATTACATTTCTTTCCCATTCTTGAAAGCTGTTGCCATGTCAGAGGTCTTCTAGCTGTGATAGTTACTCTTTTCGCAATTAAAAGTGCATACTCCAAATCTTTTTATCTACTATGACTATTTACTTCTTCCCATGATCTCCTTGCAACAGTATTCAGAAAGGGGAAACAATTTACCATTTCTTTTCATGTGATTCCAGCTACTAAAACTCTGCAGTAACAGATGCTCAGATGTTACAGGGACTGTTTATGTAAAGACAACTATAAATAGGTCTAACAACAACTCCATTTAGTATCAGCAATGTTGTTTATTCTGGTTGTACTAAAGATACTAATATACATGTTAACATAAGAAATTACTTTGTTAATAATTCAGTGCAGCAGAAAAGACACCTCTCCAGACCTGACAGGAAAACTATAAATTGTTTTGTACCTATAAAATTTAGGAATTGTATATAAGACAATCCACATTTCTACAAGCTATCTGAGAGCGCTGATATTTCTGCCATTCCTAGTATCTACATAACCTGGTTGTGAGCATTTAACAAGCAGATAACGCATCCCTCCACTGCTTCTCTAACCAGGGCTTAAGGACTGTATTTCCCTTTAAGCAGGATCTAGAACAACCCTAATGAAGCCTTTATATCCTTATTTTTTTCTGCTACAGAAGTATTAAAGTATATTGATAACTTTATAAAGTTATGATTTGTTTTACTGTTTACGTTGGTTTCAGGATCTGTCTTCCTCAGACTGAGAGTTCACTGATACATTTTTTAATCCTGGCGTGGCAAAAAGCCTACGTTTGCAAATTACAGCTGCTAAGAGATTATACCTTTTTTAACTCTGCTATGTTTCCCATTATTTTTCCCAAAATGACATGCTAAGAAGTTTGCTGAGGCTTATGCTGATTTGTAAAGGTCATCTGTAACAAATAATGCATTGTTGTCCCCTTGATACAGCTGTGGTTAATACTCCAAGTACTTTAATGCATTGAAAAACAGACAGTACTTGGAAAACAACTGTCTACAAACCATCCGCTTCAAGGATTTATCCCTACATGACTAATGTCAGGGATTTTTTTCAGAGTGAAATTAATCTAAACAAAAATTTACTTGCTGAAATGCTGGCATATAGTCTGAATTAGAGGTTTAACAACTCCCTTTAGTCAACAGAATGAGACAGGCTCTTCCACAAATGATATTCAAGAATCACTGCTCTAAATTGTACACATCCCAAGAAGAGTCTGTGCCTCTCCTCTACTTACAGAAGAAGTATACAGAAATTTAAGTCAGATAATTTAACAAAATTAAGTACTTAAAGTTAGGAGGAATGACCATCTTTATTGTATTTCAACCTGAAATAACTATCCTTGATCCTGCAAAAAAATACTACGGAATTTATTTTGTTTTTCAAGTCACTGCAATAACTGAAGTGCACTGCTGCCTGCAGAAGCTGCAATCACTCCCACTTCCCCATATTTTATTCATGACTTTCCCTTTTACTGTAAAAGAAATTGTTTACAAAAAAGAAGCCTTCTGGAACTGTTTTAGTGGCTTAAGGAGGAGAATCTGACTCTTTGTCTTTAAAAAGCAAAGCTGAATTTTTGTTGCTAGGGGGAGTGTTGTGCTTGGTTCTTGTCTGTACTCCGGAAGGCTGCTGTATAAGAAAAACCAGGTAGGAAACAAACATTTTCCTTTAGATTTGTTTCAGTATCACTGAATTGTGCATATTTTCATGAATGAAACAGACTTAAGAATCCCAAATCCTCAAAATTATTTTCTAGCTACTTTTGAAGGGGTTTTTTTGTTTGTTTGTTTGTTTTTTTTTTTTGTTTGTTTGTTGTTGTTTGGTTTTGGTTTTTTTTTAAAGAGGCATATGAGAAACTTCACTGCGTTCCTGTTGTTAGCTTTAAGTGCTTTGGAAGCCTCCTCTGAGCTAATGGAGAGCTTTATAGTTCTTGTATCCAGTTTATTACATTTTAATGTGCCTGCTACAGTACTTAACTTCAAGAAATGCTAGAAAATTGTTAAAGAAAGCAGCCATAAGGCCCTTCTGCTATGTCATCAGTTTTCTCTATTTACATGTGCCTTTAGGAAAGACTGTTTAAATATGACACATAAAGCTTCATATGAAAAAGATGTTTATGTACCAAGCAATAAAAATGCTGCCCCTTCATGCAGTGCTATATATTTTGTGCCACAAAGAGGGTATTTGAGCCTTGCTTGCAGCAAAGAAATGTTGCCATTTTTGGGGTACACCACCCTCAGCCCTGCTGCGAGACACTTGCTGAGGGAATTGGTGCTGAGTCAAATGCACAGGTGGTTTGGGAGGTAGTCACATTTGTCTATAAAAAACATTTGTTTAGGGTGAGTTCAGCTCCCTGTGCTAATTGAGACATATTTAGAAACTTGAAAAACCTTGGGGCTAGTAGCTGGTAAGGGCTAAGCCTCAGGCAGGAGATAACCACGCTGGTCTTCCTCTGCTTCTTCTGCTTTCTTATTAGGCATCTACTAGGAGATAATGAAGAATATAAAGATTGCTCTTCATACTCTAGCCTGGGCTTGAAGCACTTTTTGAGGCGAGTATGTGTGAGCCTGTACATACCCAGTACAGAGAAGTGGTGGGAAAACAATGGATGAGCTGTGCAGGCCTCAGTTAGCCCTCCTGCTAGAAGAGATTTAGCCACGTATGGAAAAAGGCCCCAAGATTTACTCTCGTTAGTTGTTCCATGAGGAAATTGAAATCCAGAATAAATTATGTTGTTGTGAGTTACTTAATCTGTGAGCTCAGTCGGCACTCGGGTTTTGCACTGGTGTAGCTATGTTGGCACAAGCTTTGTGCAGGCAGCAAGTACAGCTGAGGTCGCTTTCCTACCGACTAAAGCCGGACAGGAACCTGCAGTAATGGTATCAATTAATTGAGTTGTACAGATATAAATTAAAAAATTTCCTAAATTCTTGTAATCAAATACAGCAACTTTGTGGTGTAAACAAAGCTGAAGTGATTTGGTGGGTCCCAGGCTTGGTAAAATTTAAACCCCAACCAAGCCCAACGCTGGAAGTGAAGGAAAAAGGGGGATTGAGCATATCGTGATGATCTGAATCTTGCAGGTGGCTCTATGTACTATAGATGGGTTGTTTATTAAAAAACACATGTAACAAGTGTTCATACAGCATGTACAGGCCCATATTATTCACTATTATATGGAATAATTAAATAAATGGATGCATATATTTTTTAATCATTCAATTCTGAAAAAAATACACTTTTTTTTTTTTAAGTACTAAGGCTATATGTTAAATGGTATATCATTTGAGTGTTCAGGGTGCAAAAATTACCTGGAATGTATCTCATGATCATTATGCACATATTAAAGCACATCTCATGGGTAACTCCTGCATTGCTTGTGACAGGCATGTGTCGAACACCAACCAGATGAACCAAGTGAATAAACCCAGAAGACAGTAATGGAGGTTAGTGTCCAGTTAGTTGAGATAAAAATGGAGTAAGGCAATTTTTCACTGAGTAATAGGAATCTTTTATATATGTAACTGTGAAAAGTGAAATAAGAGCGTCTTGCAAGCTTGTTAACCCTAGATTAGTTAGTAATATTCTAGTTAATGAAGGTTTGCATAATTATTATGTGGAAATATATTACAACCACAGATAACATATGCTGTGAAATAGGCACCTTTAATGTGTATTTTATTCTATCTCATATTGATCCAAGACTTAGTTGATTAAATGATCTTAAAATTATTGGTTAAGTATATTGAATCTTGAGTAGGTTGCAAAACCAGGAAGCTACCCTGTTTCCTCATCAGTATAAATGCTTTTGACGCGATGGTATTTAGACTGTGCCTGGTGCTATGTCAATAAAATGTCAAAAGGGGAAAAAAACAAAACAAACAAACGAAAAACAAAAAAGCACCACCAGAAAGCATCTCTGTGGTATGAGGAGGTAAACTGCAAAGTTAAAGGCAAGATGGTTTAGAGCTGTCAGTAGGCTTTAGTCTTGCTAACAAAGAGCAGTGTGTGCAAACTTCAGTCAGCATCATGACTGTAGCTTGCCAGTGACGTAAGTGTAACGCACAGATGTAGAGAACACTGCTTAAATCGGGCGTTTTGCTATACCAGAGATCATTTCCGTGAGCCTGGGGGCAAGGCCGGCCTCTACACCACAGCGCACCTTGCTCCCTCTGTGAAAGATGGAGCTCCTGGATGAGGCCCCCGCCCAGGTGGAAAGGCTGAGGAGGACGCTGACGACCCGCAGGCACCGGGGAACGGAAAGGGTGAGTTTCTTCAGGTGCGCGACCCGCCTCCCTCCCACATCCCGGCGCAGCTGCCGCCCCTGCTTCTCCCCTCCGCGGGCCGCCGCGGCTACCGCGCATGCGCACCCGGCCCCCGCGGCGCGCACGCGTGCCCGACCTCTCCCCCTCAGGGTCGGGGCCCCCGCGGCGCCGGGCTGGCTTCTCGCCCTGTCCCGGCCGCCTTCGCTCACGCTCGGTCCCTCGTCCTTTCTGCCCCGCTGCAGCTGCCGGAGGCTGCCGGCCCCCCCGTGCCGCGGACGGAGGAAGGGAGCCGCGCCATTATGGCAGCGGGACCGGCCGGCGCGACCTCTGAGGCGCTGCGCGGTGAGTGACTAGCGGCCGCGGCTTGGCGGGGCGGGGCCGGGGGGCGGGGCGCCCTGAGGGGCGGCGGCGGCGGCGGCGGCGGCGGCGGCCCCTGTGCCCGCCGGCTGCCCGTCGCTGTGGGTGTTCGGCCCCGGGGGAAGCGTTACCCCATCGAGAGCGCCTCCAGCTCATAGACGGGAAAACCGCGGCGGGGTCCGCCTGGGAGGGGGCGCGGGGGGTGCGCTGGTTACCGTTGTCCGTGAGGCGGTTTCACTCGCCGTGTGGGAGCGGGGACGGAGGGGCGGTGTGGTGTGCCGAGTCAGCTCGGAGCACGATGCGTGCGGCCAGAGCGCTGCGCTCGAAAGCCATGCTCCTGCCGTGTTTAAATATGATTATGAAATGTTCTTACATAAAATACGCGAAATTTTTCAAAGGCGTTAGTGTAGACCGGCGGTATTTGCATATTTGAATGTGACTCTCATAGTTTGTGCTTGGCGCGTCATTCGTGCATGCGTTGGCTCATGGATTTACTGATGGGCTATTTTGTGTGAGATGCACTATTCACTCACAGAGTAGGAGAGTGCAAGAGAGTGATGCAGCGGGAAGCTGTTAGAAGTAAACGCCTGATTGCAGGCTTGGGAAGAATAGAGGTTGTTGGTACTTGAAAAGTAATCTTCAGTTTCTTTGGCAGAACCTTTGCGATATTCCCGTTGAACGCTTAGGACAACATTAATGTTGTGAATCTTACTGCATGGTTTTTATGGGCTTAACTAAATAGGATGCATAAAAGACCTAATTAAGAACAAAATATTAAAAAGTCAAGAAAACCAAAATCTAGCAAAGTACAAACATTCTTAGTTTTTACATACATTTTATTTTTATAAACCTCAATATTGATGAATTGTCCTTAAACTCATTTTAGCAAAATAGGGTATTTGTTACAGACATCTACAATTTAGGCATGTTTCCAGCTCTTCCAAGGTCTGTGTACTTTTCTTTCAAATGTTTTTTGAGTCTCACTGTGCCAATTTATGCTAAGAAGTAACACATTGTTGACAGATGGAGTCCAAACAGTTTTCAGAATTGAGGGGAAATCAAGAGACACCCTCTAGTGATGGTTGTTTTTTTTTTTTTACAGAAGCTCATTTTCCAAGAATAAGCAGAACAGCACAGCAGTACTCTGAGAAGAAAACTAGCTATTAGTTCCCTTATGTGATAAGTGGTTTGTTTTCTTAAGTATTTTGCTCTGTTACTTGTTGCTGCTTCTGAAATCCTTGTAATTTTGCTAATTTTGTATGATTGAGTGAAAAGTCCTGCATGTGTTATTCTGAATAGGCTGTATGATTGGTTTACTTAATTGCAGTATAATTTATCCATCTGATTTATTTTTTTTTTTAAATTACGTCTTGAATTTTGAGAGAGACTGCACTTTGAGCTGAAGTCTTCATGCGTCCATCCAAAACTTATTTAATTTTTTTCCCCCCCCCTGGAATTCAGTCTGACAGATTTATAAATAATATAAATTTCCATCTTCAGTATATTATGCTTTTGAATATGCTGACACTGACATTTCCTATTGTGTTGCCCAGTCATAAGTTAAAAGTAGATTTCATTTCTTCACATCCTTTGCTAGGCTGATGATGTGTGTATGAATTTCTGCTCATCATTGCCTTGGCAAGTGATAACTAACCATTTGAAAAAAAAAAAAAAATGTAACAACACCACCTCTCTATCCCTACATTTTCCAGGTGCTACTGAAAAATTATTCATAGGCTATTTCCTCTACTGTCTTGTTTTGGTTTTGCTTTAGTGCCTGTGATAATACATTGTCTCTATTCCTAGGCCTCTTTAGTTTCTCATGGTTGTCACCATACTTATTCACTGTTTACTTTTAGCACCAGAAATTTAACATATGCACACACACACCTCCTTTTTATGAAAAGGGAACTGTATTTCAGCACAAGTGGGAAGTAGGTAATATTTGTAGAATTATCAATTTGTGGTGTCCATCAAATACTTGGTTTATTTCATGATAGCATGATATGATCATTTTCTCATTCTGGTCCCACTGTGGCAAACTTGTTTAGGAAACATATTCATCAACTGTTTCTTCACTTAATATTCATCATAATCTCTCTTTGTCCCTATTTGTCTTTCAAGTGTTCAGTCAGTCTCTACTATTTTTTAGCGCAGTCTGTTTGCAGAAATGGATTATTTTACTATAATCTAATTATGTGTGTGCCTAGATGCCTATATACCTTTCTTAAATGGAAAGACTTGGCTATATGTCGGTCCACTAGTCAGTCTAATAAATAAGAGTTGCAAAAGAAGAATTGCTTTAAATGAAAAGCCCATGTCTGATTGTTATTCTGTTGTGAGGCAACCTACAGTGTTACAAAATCTTTTTCTTCATTGTTGAGTTTTTTGAACGTTAGTTATTTGGTTGTTTCTGGAGTGTCTTACTATGCATTTATGGAGTGATTGTATCTATGATAAATCCGAAAGTGTTTCTAGGACCTATGCTGGAAGTTACCATTCCCTGTTTTCTTTCAGGTAACTGATGTTTGGTCACAGCATAGATGTCTGTCTGCTTTTCCTCGTGCCTGGTTTCTGCATCTCATTCAGATACAGGATTGGTGTCAAAATGCTTGCAGTCGTTCTGTGTCAGTGTAGAGAGCTTTGAAGTCACACAGAGATTGAGTGGGTTTGGGTTCCTCTGAGTGCAGGTGAAATCAAGGGAGAAAACTAGATGATATTTTCATGTTCTCTATCTGGCTTAATTTGACTATCCCACAAGCTTATTAGATCTACCCGAAGTAGAATATGGAGGCATTGTAGGATAGTGACGCTTCCAGATTAAAATGTGTGAAATTTTTTGATACAGGCTTGTAATGGTGATCCTGCAAAGCAATGCTGTCATGGATATCAATCTTATTCTTTCACTTCAAAAATACATTTTGAAGTTAAGCACAAATTAGTTGGCTGTAGAGCCCATTCACATAAGCAGAACAAAAGTATACGTCCAGAGAAATAAAGTAACAATTTATTTTCTTTATGTGGGCCTTTTTTCAACAGTAATTTCCCACAATAATTGGTTCATTAAATTAATTTTACTGCAGCTACTAAAGCCTTAAAATACTTTTCATTATGTATCTAAAGGATATTTCTCCTGTTGTCGCAAGGAACTGATTCATTCATAAAGAATTCTTCATACGCCGCATGAGTTCTGATGCTTTAAGAGATTCTTAAAGTAGTGGCAGATTGTTTCTGCCCTGATTTTATGTGTTTATGCTGTTCAACCTGGCTTGTCTGGAAATGTTTACAAGCAATTGTCAAGTATTTCAGAAAATCAAAAGCAGACTCTAATCTGCTTTCTAGTTTTCATTTATCAGAGTGGAACTGAAATAAACCATTTGCTCTAATGAAATACAATATGTTTTTACACACTGACTGAAGACAGTAGAGTGGTAGAACAGAGTCACAGAAGGGAGATCAAAAGGTAACTTTGGACCAGCTTCTCCCCTTAAGTTCAACTCTATTTAGGTCTTGATGCCTGGTTTTGCTGAGGTTTTTTTGCCTGGTTGGGTTATTTTTTTGTTGTTGTTGTTTTGTTTTGTTTAGGTTTTTTTTCATTTCAAAGCTTGCACCAGTGAAGATTCCATAACTATTTAAGGGCCTCGATTCCAATGCTAGAATACTCCAAAAGTTAAAAAGCTTTTCCAGTGTGCAACCACATTCCTTATTGCAATTAAAGTCTGTCATGTTCATCTCCTGCAGACACAGAGAGCCATCCTGTGTACTACAATCTTTTGTGTCCTTGAAGTTGTAAAAGATGTTTACATTTTTTTCTCCATTCCAACAACTCTTCAAAGTCAGCCTTTGAGCAAATGTGACTTCTGAGAGTTCCTGCCTGCATGTTTTATACACAGATAGACATTATTCCATCATTCAAACCATTAGTGTTTTAAAGGCATCAAATTGAGGCAAACCCTGAAAATACCTACTCAGTATGTGGTTTTAATTCATTAACTGTTACTTGCTTATCTTTTTAAATGTATTTTTTCAGTGACTTACATGTTCCCCCTTCCCTCCTGTCGTTTCATCAAAATATAGAATGTATGTTGATGAACATTAAATTGGCTTGACAGGTCTTGATCTTGGCTAACCTAGGCCTTCTATTGCTTATTATTTTACTGTCTTTTAAATATTTACAAATAGGCTGAGGGTTTTTTTGTAGAGTTTAAATTGGACTGACTTGTGTATGCTTCTGCAACTCGCTCTTTTCCTTTTCTTAAAAGACATTTGCCTGGCATTTTTGAATTTGCCCGTTGTCTGTCATTTCTCAGAGTCACTAGTGGTTCTGATTTTGCTGCAGCCAGTTCAGTGTTGGATGCTCTGAAATTAATTAGCTGTTTAATTAGCTCAGTCTGATTAGTATTTATCTAGATCTTGTTCTCTGTTTTGTCATTCTTACCCTGTTCTTACTCATTAATGTATTCCTTGTTACAAAAGGCAGGATGCAAATAAACTTTTCCGTGTGTCCTTTCTTAGTCTCTTTACTGAGTACTTGCTTATTTCTGTCTCTAGGGTTCCTCTTGGTAAGGAAGTGGTTATGGGATTCTTACTTTTCTCTTATGTGTCTCATGCTAGTGATACTCACTTTGTGACTTGTTCTTTCTTTTGAAAGTTTCCAAATACAATGAATGCTGCTTCTTACAAATACAGGCAGTAAATTGTTTAATTTAAAAAGATTAGGATTCTCCCAAATCTTTTGATGTTTTTGAGTAGAATCAGTATTAGTGGGGTTTATCTTAATGTATTTTTCTTTTCTAAATGACGGTGGACTAAGGTCATCCTAGAAATTAGATTGCACTTTGACTTTGGTATAGTAGGTAGCCTTTAAATGTTTAAGTTGTATATTCAACATATAGTATTTTCTGCTGCCAGTAAAGCTCTTGGAAAAATATTGAATCAGCCATAATGTGATATATGTTATGTGACATTATCACTCCTAAGCCCTTACCCTTTGCTGTTTTATCTTCTTTTCATGAATTTAATGCCTTATATAAACCTGAAATCATCCTTTACTTGGACCTTGGCAAACGTTCTTTCATAAGGGCAAAGAACAAATCAGTGTTTGGCTCAAAAAACTGACAAGTAATACAATTCTGTAAGTGGAGATAACTAGAAAAACTTATTTACCTAGAATGTCATGTGTTCAACGATGAAAAATTAAGGAAAAAAAAACGTGCACCACAAAGAACAAGTGCAAGAAGAGCTACAGTTTTCTCCTGATATTCATCTTCGGTTGTTCTAGTAAAAGGGCCACTGTGTTCTGTGCAGAACAATGGAGCTCCTTCTGGAAATAAAAGCTAGTTACAAAAGTTCAAGAGAAAAAAATAAGATCTGAGGATTCCACATATGAGAAGGCATGTAAAGTATTTTTCTTTAAAAAGTTAATATTGCATATATCAGACAAAGTTAACATTTCAATAAGCTCCTGAGAATTTCCAGGTGAACTCCAGGGCTCCAGTGAGACTGAAGAGGTCTGTGCAGATGGGGACTTACAGTCTTCAGGAACCTCCCTTGGCCAGCTCCCTTAGAAATCATGGAGCATCCCATTACGACCCGTGGATCTGCATATACCCTGTTTGTTTAAATATGGCCTTCCTTGATCTTTCTTTTCTGAGGGTAACTGTTTGCTGCTCCAGGCTTTGCCTGTGGTCGCTGGACACTGGTGTTCCTGACGGCAATAGAAACTGAGATGAAGAAAGCACTGATTACTTGGGTCTTTTCTGTGTCCCCTGTCACCTGGTCCCCTGCCCCATTCAGCAGCAGGTAACCATTTTCCCTAGTCTTCCTTTTGCTGCTAATACATTTGCAATGCCCTACCTTGACAGCCATCACATCCATTGCCAGATTCAAGTCTGGGTGGGCTCTGGCTTTAAGTCCATCCCTGCATGGTCGGACAGTGTCATGGTGTTCCTCCCAGGTCACCCATCCCTGTTTACATCTCCTGTAAGTTTTTTCTTTTTATGTGTGGGTTGAGTTAGTTCATCCATGTAGCCTCCTGCAGGTCTCACTTGACTTCCTGAGTATGGGGAAAGACTGCTCCTGAGCTTGGAGGAGGTGATCTGTTGCTTCCAGAAGGGTGGCACAAGTAGAGCTGAGAGTAGCTTGCGAGTGAAGTTACTTGATGATGCTGTCAGTCATACATGGGACAGGGTAAAATGCATCCTACTGTCTTGGTTGTACTAGAGCTATAGCACAGAAACACTGCTGGTGAAATTAGTATTTTGTCACTACAAAAAGCAGGTAGCTTTAAGCTGAAAAAGGAAGCAAATCTGTAAATGCTTTACTGTTGTGATCACACCTGTATTAGGATTTATAGCACATCACCATTCAAAATTAGATCTAGACAGCTCTAACAGCTTCCAAAATGCCAGGTAATTCTTTATATATTTTTAGTAGAAAAAAAGTGTATACATACTTTACTTAAGGTGGCTCATAGTATATAATGAGAGGTAGATCCATTGCAGTTAAAGGCATTTAAGTTATAGCCTATAAGTCCTGAATTCCCCAAACTGTTCCATTCCTTCACATTTTCTCATGCAAGTTCTTTCTGTTGGAACATGGGACTCTGTATGGTATGTATGGCTTTATTTTACATGATTTTAGGTTTCTTTCAGAAAATACATAATTTAAACACGTTACCATATTTTCTCTTTTTCAGACTTGCCACCTGTTCCTTCTACATCAAGAGCAGGCTCTGCAGAATTTTCTGTTAGGGAGCGAATGAGAGAGAAACTCAAAGCAGCAAGGGTGAGAATCCTTCAGAAGTCCTGTTTGGTTGACTTTAATCTTTTAAGTACCACCCACTTCATTTTAATTGCTTAGTGCTATATGTATCTGAATCGGAATATCTGTTTTTTTATTTCTAATGCTGAAATGATACTCAGTTCATCAGTACATTTATTTTCCAGTACATTTCTATTGCTATATTTTTTCTAAGGTTTATATTTTATCTGTTTGTAATAATATAAAAGTTATCATTGTTTTATAATTCAGATGATACAATCATTACAAGATCCTTCCATGTTTTTGCCAAAAAATTTCTTACACTATTTTGAAATCAGTGGATTTCCTTGTAAGTCTACTACACAGTTTAATAAGGGGTATTAACATCTAGGTCTGTAAAATCACTTAAGCTGATTATATAGTAAAAAGATTCTCTCCCTAACACAAACATGCATAAGTTGTTGAGTTCCTGGGAATTATTGTAGCTTTGGTCTTACTGTATTTCTATTACAGCTAAGCATTTTTTTTGTTTGCTTAGTCAAAAGCAGAAATTACTTTATTGCAAGAAGACCCCAGTCCACGACCAAGGCGTTTAAAAAGCATCAGAGAAAGGAAAACAGAAGTCAGATTGGATAAAGTGGTAAGAAGGTGCAGTGTGTCTTGCTATTCTGATAATAATAAAATGAATGTGAAACATGAAATACATTAAAGACTACACATAGTCTTGAAGATCAATTTAATTTGTTTTAATGGGATCAGAATTGTACTATTGTTTGAATTAGTAACCAGGAAGAAACCTTTCTGATTATTGCTTTCTGTGTAAATATTTAGCAATAATAATTTGCTTTCATTGTAGTATAGACATCATATGAAACTTCTGTCATTTACAAGTTCATGACTTCTGTTGCTTAAGATACCTTGAAGTATTAAAAAGTTACTGTAACAGAAAGGACCACTGTATTATAGCTTTATATAAATTTGCACAGTGTAATTGCTAAAGGCTGGATATTAACTTTATGTCATTGTACCGTATTGTATTTCCTTGTTGCTATTTTATGTTCATTTTTTTTAGTATAAACATGTTCTTTGTTAAAAATGAATTTTGTACTAAAAAAATAACAAAGACTGTGCCTGTGCAGATCTTGCATCTGGATATTCTTCAGAATTCAGAAAGAGATTGCTTGCCTGTAGAAAATGTGTTCCAAAGAATGTGTACGCCCCAGAAATAACAGCATGTAGCAGTAATGTTTTTATCTGGAGTTCGAAACAATATGAATTAGCCTGGCTAAATTGCTTGTCTAGGGATGAATTACCTATTCATGTAGATTGTTTTTAGCAGTGTTTTTCTTAAAAAGTAAATAATTATCATAGCTTTCAGTTAAGTATATTGTTTTAATATGTTTGTATTAGGAAAATGTGGAAGTGATACCCTTATTAAAGTTGGTTACTAATGTTATATAAAGTATATCTGAAACCTTCCACGTGTTGGTTTTCTTTCCTGTACTTGCTTACACGTGTTTGAAGTACTGTTTTGTTGTTAAACAAGTGACCATCAGATTTCCAGGGTTTGAGATTTTCTTTTTGGTGTTATTACTCTGAAGTTTACATTGAATAGCTGTAAACTTGAGAAATGTCTTCCTTTAATTTAATAATTCAGGTCACAAGGAGGAAAAACAGTGTTAGATGTGTTTATGTTGGATGAGCCTGATGAAATCACTTTGAAGCGCTTAAGTGAACTTGCTGAAGCAACCTCAGAACCAGTGATGTTTACAGTGATCTATATGTAGGGACGGATAAGGCTTCAGAAAACTGGAAATGAATAACCATGCTACCTCCTTTCTTGAAAGGGTAGAGGAGTATCACCCAGGGAGTTTTAGAGTAGGCTATCAAGAATTGTTTGAAAGAACAAAACAAATAATCAAGTCTGTATTTGAGCACCCAAACAATGGACACCACCTTTTTTGAATAATACCAAATATTTCTTTTGTGGTTGCAGCAGGGGCTGTATGAGAAGCTGGCCTTGGCTCTTTGATTCCCTTCCCTGGTCAGCAGTGTCTGTCAGCAGGACCCTTGCGGCTGCTGCCCGGCTTGTGCTGTCTGTGTAGACCGGAAGGTTTCGCCTTGCTGCCCCATTTCTCCCCCTTGCGGAGATTAGCATTGCTTATGTTTGGGAGTGCAGAAGCCATGATCTCATCAGCAGTGAAGAAAATAAGCTAACATTTATAAAATGAACCATTTCTTGATACTCTGCAGCCTATTTCTTGACCCAAAGGAGAACGGAGTTTAAGAATTAGATGTACCCTTTTAAAATAAATCTATCATCAGTATGATAGTTACCACAGCAACTGTGTTTCTTTTCTGTTATTTTTTCCTGTGAAAATGCAATATATAATCAACTTTTTGTCTTTTTTTTTTTTTAATCAATCAGTAAATATATGCTACAACTGATGTCTATATATATTTTTATGCAGTCTGATGTTGATAAATTTAGGGAGATGCAAGAGGATGAATCCCACTTACAACCAAAAATAAAGTTACGTGATTCTGTAAAAAAGCTTAAGCAAAAGTTAACAGTAAGTACCAATTCTTCATTTCAATAACTGATATGAATTTCATCTAAACTTTATGTGGCTTCATGATTTTCTTTGAAGAAGCAGACCAGGATTCAGTCTTCAGCAGTGGAGAAGGTTTTATTTAATTTAAAAATTCACAAACAGCATACGCCAACAATTGAAGTATAAAAAGGGAAACTTCATCAAATACAAGAATGCTTTTGTGTCATTTGATTTAAAAAAAAACCCAAAAACAAAAACAAAAAACCCAAACCAAAACAAAGCAAAAAACAAGTAGATCCATGTAGACACGATTGCTGGAGCTTGGAGGAAAAATGTTTCTTCTGTTTAAAACCTTTTTATTGAATGCCACCAATTGGCAGTTAAAGCAATTTGCAGATTAGTATGTTGATATTTATTAGCCATGAAATGCTACTGTTAATTCTATTATTAGAGGGTTCATTCTAATACTAAAGAGGCCTGGGTCCTTCAGAGGCAAAATGCCATTAGAAATTTCTCTTCATATCATTCACCTGGATATCTGCATTATGGCCAGAATTTAAACTTTGACATTTCTCATTTGCAAATTGTTTAAAACAATAAGCTGGTTAAAATTAAACAGGTAACTTTTTTTTAATAAAACATTGCAAGAAATATTTAATTAAATAGTTGTATAGCAATAGAGAAAGTTTTGTGTGTAATTTAAAAATTTCAGTCAGCTTCAGCGTTTGGCCAAGTTCTCTCTGGGATAAAATGATCATTTTCCTGTGACAAGAGTTTATACAAGCTGTTACTGCTATTATTAATGGAAAGATATCTTCACTTGCTCTAAATTTCTTATAAATGTCATACTAAAGTATCTTTGTCTTCTTTCCTTATTTCCAGAATGATTTTCCTTCTGCTGAAGAAGCATATAATTTCTTTACCTTCAATTTTGATCATGAACCAGAGAGTATAAAGGCTGAAGCCAGGAAAAGGAATGAATTAAATGAAGAGGCGGCAGAGGAGGAATGTGTAGAAACCCATGCGGATGAACAAGAGGAGGATGAAATGGTGTGGGCTATAGAATAAATGATCATATTTTTATTCAGATTTCTTAAATTAATTCACATCATCTAATACAAAATTACAACTTTTTGTTTCCTTAAAAATTCTGACTGTATACTTTCTAAATATCTCTATTTTAAGACATAGACAAACTAACAGAGATCTTTCCACTTAAATTATAGGATGAAGATGTACGCCTAGTTAAAGATGATGATTTATTCATTATAGGGCAGACAGCTGAAGATTTTCTAATAATGAAACCTGCTGATTGTGAAAGCTATTCTGAACAACTGAAAAAGGAAAAAGAATTTCTCTTCATTCCCAGCATGTTAGCAGGTATGAAGATTTTGCTTATCCATTTTGTCCTGGATTTTGCATAGCATGGCACCCTTTGATCTGCTGAAAAATCTTGTATCAGCCTGTCTCTGGCAGTAGAGCAATATTTAATTGCAGTTCTCTGACACTGATCATCCAGTCAAGTTTGAAAAGGTTTTACAAAATGGATTAACCAGGAGCATGCACACCTCAGCGGGTCACTAGCAAGTTTACTCAGGGCACATCAGTTGCTCTGGGGCAATTACCTTAGCACTGCCTATAGTAAATGCAATGTGGCTGGCCCCTCTTTCAGTGGAGTTTAGCTATTACATTATTTAACGCATGCAGGAGGTTACTGAGTACACGCATTTAGGTATTAAGAGTAGTTCATGCACTGTTCATTATAACTTACACTATTTATTCACTTGGCCACGTCTGCAATTTTTTCCATGTGGCATGTTTAAGTCTTGTAAGTAGCATAAGGACTTTTGTGATTCAGGGGGCCCTTTTCCGATTTTGTGAATCAGAAATAGTCAACATTGATCATGTCTCTGACCTTTTTGCCTTATCCTCATAGAACTGCAAAGTCCTTAAAAAAATGCTTTATAATATCACTTGCTATTTAATGTTTGAACTGGAAGAAACAGAAATGAGTCTCTCTGTGGTCTGTACCAGAATGGTGTCAGCACAGCTTGCAATGCGATGTCAAAATATTTGATACTGGATGCCTCTGTTTTTTCATGTTTTGTAACTTAGTTCTGACTGCTTTCAGTGTGGTCCACTGTGATAACTTTTATGGTAACCATCAGGATAATCTCTCCCTGTTTTGAGATTGCTCCTTGAAAAATACTGAGCCCATACACACCAGTGAAATAATCCTGCAGGCAGGCTTTAAAGAATTCCACCTGCTGTTACTGCACTAACATGACGTTTTATGCATGTTCTGTATTTTGTACAAGTAGCTGAATCAAACTATTAATAGTAGTTCAGACTAACCTTAGTGAAATTTTCACTTTATATGGGAAAAGCTTAGAAATGTTTTAGTCGGTGGTTGCTGCTGAAGGGTTTTTATACTGTTATGCAGGCAACCATTAAACTCCACTAAGTTATTCTGAAGTATTTTTTGGTGAGGAAATGTTTAATTATGTATTTAGAAGACTTGTGACACTTCTAGGCTTACACTGTGGATCTGGCCTGATTAAGAGAAGGACTTGCTTTTGTTATGCATTTATTTCTTTTTTCCTAGTTAAGAAAATATTTCTGACAGCATGCTTAATATGCAGTGCCATTTATTTTAAGAATGGTATGGGCTCTTAAAGATTTAACAAACTAGAACTACAGTTATGAGATATTTTACATGCTTTTCTATTTAATTTCTCATTAGTGCCCACTTCTAAGAAGATGCCTGAAAACATGCAGCCTAGGTACCTTGAGGATGAGGGTCTCTACACAGGAGAAAGGCCCTTTGTATCACAGCCTAATCAAAATATTTTAGAAAACAGAATACTTAGACAGGAGCAAGTAAGTCACCACTACCTTCTTAGTTGTCTTAAAACTCTTTACTTATCAGTATTTTATTTTGTTATAGTTAAGTGGGTGGATGGTCATGGTAATATGGGGATTTCATCTTCAAAATTTCTAGCAGTATCAGATGTCAGGAAACGTGGATTTTTTTGTAGGAGTGTGTTTTTAGTGTATCCCAATAATCAGAGCACCCAACTGAGTTTTAGAAGACTGGTGTGTTTTCCTGGCTCTGCTTGTAGCCTGCTGGGAAACAAATCACTTCACTTGTCTGTGCCAGAGTTTAGTTGCCGCTACAGTAAGGGTAACCAAAATTTACTTTTTGTATAACATGCTGTGAGAATTAGTGGTATGTATAAAGACTTGTGCAAGAACTGGGCACTGTTGTTACTATTTGCTAGAAGAACATAACAAAAGGAAGCAGTATGGAATGGCTGTTTCCTGTGTTCACTGAATATGAAGAAATAGACTTGTAGAAATTTACTGATCAGACTGTAAGGGTAATTAAATATTGGTATAGATGATCTGGAGAGGTTTTATTATAATTTTAGATTTTTAGGAATGGCTTATGGAAACACTGGTGAAGGTGGCTTGGATATATTTTATACTGCTATATTATCCTCCTATACGCAGTAAAGTGTTTATGGCTTAGTATAGATTTAAGCTACTATACAGCAGTTGCCTTTTGTATTTTATTATGATTCTATGAATTCTTCATGGGCTAGCAGATGTACTTCTGTGAATCAGATTGGGAATATTTGGATCTAAAATTTTTCACTGGCCAACTTTAACCGATTAGTTTTCTGGTTTGCTTTACCATGTTACCATCTCAATGTTTGGTTCTAGGATCAGCTTAAACCAGGTATGGGAATAAGAGGGCAGGCCAGCATCTTTCAGCAGCTGCGCTAGTTTAAGCTGTTCTTGAATTCAGTTCATGAGAGCAGAGATGAATTAACACAATATTTAACATGTGAAGTCATGGGTAGCAGTTGGTGTGCAAGATATTTACCTCATCAGCTTTCATATATATTGTTTAATTAGTTCACCTTGTGAACTAGAAAAGTTGAGAGATGATAATGATGATGATGATAATAGAGATGATGATCTCTCTGAGCTGCCATTAGCTCTTGTGTAAAACATTATAATTCTTTCAATTTTAGTGATTTAAGAAAATAACATTTAACTAAGTCATGTAAGTGTTGATTTTATTCCTTTTTTTTTCTTTCAAATCTGTAACACTGAATGTTGAAGGAAAAAATCAGTATATTTAAAGTTTGAGCAAGCTCTTGGTCTTTTGATTTCAAAACTTAGCTATAGTATATTTGAAGATTTAATTTTGGTGCCTTAGAAAAATTTTTGTTAATTCAGTCACAAACAATTCATAGTCACCTTTTATTCTGTAATCGTTTTTCATAAGAATTATAATTTTGTAAGTTTTTTCTGTATAAAGTAAGAAACAATATAAAATTATCTTTTTATTTGTAGGGGAAAGAGTGGTTTGGTGATGATGGCAAAATCTTAGCATTGCCTAATCCAATTAAACAGTCTTTTACTAGGCCTCCAATATTCTCATTGGAAGAAGGCATTGCACCAGAACTTGAAACAGTGTATAGAAAGGTAGGCATGTTTCTTATATGTGGTTCCTGAGACCAAATATCCCAGCTCTTCTCTACCAGAAACCCTGGTGAGCCAAACGGATTTGTGCAAAGAACCATGAGTGCTGACTGCTTTTTGGCGTTCCACAATTGGTCTTTAAAGGTGCTTTACTTTTTCAAGTGTATTCCACCTGTATTTTTCTTTGAAAATAATGCGTGTGAAAGGATGAAGAATTTAACCAGTAGTACTGGCTAAAATAGCAAAGTGACAGTCCATGACAATCTGCTTCAAGTCTGAGTCACTAAGGTCTCTGTGAGGCCCCCTTGTGTGTTCTCATGCCAAAGTAGGGTAGTTTCTGCATTAGTGTATCTGTAAAGCTCCTTGTAGTAGGAGCTGGTAGACAGATGTAGTAATCAAGACAGAGGTGCTCTCTGCAGCTTGAGAGAAATAATTGAAGGGCATATGTGTGATGGTTATTTTACAGTGATGAAACTCCTCCAAAGTAAGTCTTTACATGCAGTTCACTCATGTAGAAAGCAATTTATTTTGAGTTATGTTTCATCAGTTCAGATCTTTCTTTGTTTCTTTTTGTCTTTCCCTCAACAACAGCATACCTACCCTGGCAAACAGCAGTTGCAATGTGCAGTCAGAACAAATCAAAATAAGTTTCAATTAAAACCCTTAAACAAGCTTTAATTGTTCTGCTTGTTAGCATTCTATTACCCCCTTGGAAAAACTGTGACTTTTTAGACTTTAAAGTAGATTGCTCTTTTGGGACGCACAAGTGTTTCTGTCTGCTGCTGTTGATACAGATTTGAATGTTGCCCTTTAATTGATTCTGGTTACAAATACACAATTCTCAGGATACACCCAGCAGCACAGATCTATGCAGGTTGTTTCTGCATACAGGAAAGGAGGTTGGTGCTTAGATCTTAATAAAGATAGGCCAAGAGAGCTTATGTTTCAAAGACACGAAATTTATGTGATTGACATGTAACTACCCAAATCATTGTTGAAAGTAAGACGTTAAGCTTAGGGGTACTTTATGGGCAGAAGTATAGTCAAAGCATAAGGAATTCAGAGCTGTCATTTTTATGACAGATTATGTCATATTAAAAATTTTCATGAGAAACCAACTGTGGAAGGATCAGATGGACTTAAGTGCGTTTCGTGACCATTTGTACCAGTCCTGTAAAAGAGCTATGCAACAGCTGAATTCCCCTCTCAATCCCCCTTTTTCCAGTTCTTACAAAGGGGCTGCAGTGAACACTACCTAACTAACAACTCCATCTTTTATGGTAACAGAATATCTCTGATTAATCTCTTCTGAAGAATTCTTAGAGGGGAGCAGCAACAGGCAGGTGGGAAGCACTGCTAATTCTCTTCTGATTTCAGTAACCTGCGGATATAAGCCATGATTGCACTTCGGTTGCAGCAGGTTGAAGCAGAGTCTTTAAGCTTTGTTGCTTAAAGCTTTCATTGGGCTTTGCTGGTGCGAATTTCCCTGACCTTAGAATGGGGAAGCAAATAACATATTTCCTCTTCTGCACAATCCAAATGGTCTACAAGGAAAGTTGCTCTCTTAGAGAGCTGGACTGTTTAACTTAGAGCTCAGCTCTAAGAGAAAATAAAGTGATACCAAATAAACAGGTAAAAAGAGAACTAGCAGGCTTTTCTTTTTCCAATTCAATTTCATTGTCTTCATTGCTCAGCAAAACTTGCAGTACAGGCAGATGACTTCTTATTTCAGCTTCATATGGGCTGTCAAAAATCTGTTGTGTAGAATACCCATGGTGGTTTTATGCCACCCACTTGTCAGTATAGCAAAGAAGTTACCACAGAAGCCTTTCCAGTTTAAGACTCAGTAGTTAGTTGTAGGCAGTGCTGTTGGGGCTTGTAAATCCATTTTATTCTTTTTTTTATTTTCAGGCAATAAAAATGACAGCTGCCAATCAGTATCTTGTTGGACCTGGAGATTTTCAGGGGCCATTCCAATTGGATATTGATATTTCTGGACTGATATTCACCCATCATCCCTGTTTTAGCCGTGAGCATGTGTTAGCAGCTAAATTGGCTCAATTATATGATCAGTATTTAGCAAGAAAACAGAAGAATCTTACCAAACTTCTCACAGACAAGGTATTTCTATTCCATTGTCATGGTTTATTGAGATAAAGATGTGACAGTGTAAAGTAGAAGTTGAATTTGTTTCTTCAGAGTAGAGTGATGAAATTCTAATTGAATGTACTGAATGGCATTTTGTCAGAAGGTAAAAAACTAAGTATTTCACCTAGGTTGCTGTGTATTCAGTGCAGAACTGCATTTTTAAGATGATGAATCTCTTTGATCTTCTACTTAAAGTGAACTCTGTGCAGGTTCTGAGATAAAGGAAATATAATTTTTGGAATACAGTAACATCTACATAATATTCCTTAGAGTATCCATAATGTTTTCCAGTGAACAACAGATAAGACATAGCAGGATTGTGTACAGCAGCTCTGACAGGCAGGCAGCAATAGACAGTGTTCAAGGATGGAGGGAAGTTAGTGAAGTTCAGTCTCAGTTGTTGACTAAAATTAAAAGGAAGCATTTTAATTTCACCAAACTCTACAAAAGTTGATGACCCATTTCCAGGTATTTATCTGTGACAGATACTGTGGTTTAAATGCACACTGCTGACACATTTACTGTGTCACTCTTGTGACATGGCAAAACCCTGGACTGAACGTAGACTCTTCTGTTCATTGGCTCCATTACTGACTTGCTGGATGACCTTGACTGGGCTGGTTACACTCTGTGTACCATCCCCATTCCTCCATCTGTACATTAGAAGTAATGGTAGTGGTCTTTTCTGGTGTAAAATTGTACATGAATATTAGGCATGGTTAGTACCATTCTGGTATCATCAGGGCACACAAGAATATTTTTTTAAACATTTTAAAATGCTTTTGAAATCTGAAAGGATTACAATTCTTTAGAAATGTGAGGTAAATATTGCGGTATGTGATAGCTCTATGTAGTAGAGCTGTTAAGAATTAGTTTGATTAGTAAGTACATATAAATTCAGATTTCTGTAAGTTAAAGGCGATGACAATTTTCTACCTTAAGGGGCTATTATAAGGGAAAAATAATCATTGTAATCAAGGTTATTTTTATATTAGTGTAATGAGGGTCTCTAGGTGATGTACAGATACTTATGAATTTTGGTATAAAGCATTATGTTATTGCTCTGATGATGGACAAATATTTCACACAATGCCTCAAAATAATTATTTGGTATACTGTAGTCTGTCATTACTTTTGAAGGATTTGCTCTAGTTTTCCCTGAAACAGTGAAATAGAACGTTTGGGTTCTCCATGCCTGTATAACAGGAACCTATGTGTGGAAGAGATTTCCTGAGTCTTTCCACAATACTTTGCCAGTATCGTAGGCAACTGCATAATATATTTTTCATAAATGGATTTTAATAGTTAGATATTTTAGCCACCATTCTGCCACTGACAGGCAGTTTTAAAACCTGCCTCCTGTAACAGTCATTATTTAATGGCCAGATGGTTGCAGCCAAATTGTTCTTAAGCGTAAAGAACTCCTCTTCCCTTTTCCCCTCCCTCCCTACCACGTCCCAGTGGACTTCTTATCCAGTTCTGATGCCTGCTCATTGTATCTTAAAATATATCACCTTTCAGTCCTCGTTTTGGCAGGATAAGGAAACTGCACTTTCTGTCTCCTTTCATAAAATATCCTCTGTGCCCCAGATGGTACTAGCAGCTTTCCATGTGTGCAGTTATTCTTTGTTTCAAAATGTCTTTCAACTCCTTTTTTTTATACCAGTGAGTTTCATTTTGTGGTTGCCCATGTGCATTTTCAGCTGTATGTTTCCTCCTCTCCAGTTATATTGTCTCTCCAGTTTGATAGATGTGTTCAAAAAAGTCTTTGCTTCTGGATTTGTAATTTCATTGCCTCTTCTTTGGATGTAGTTGCTTTTGTCTCCTGCATTGCCATTGGCCATTCTGGTTTCATGTTCAGTATTATCCTTAAGGAGATCTACAGCAATATAATAACTAAAATTTTAGTTTCTATGCTCCTGCTGTTTCTTACTTTTCTCTCTTCTCCTAGCCTATACATTCTCTTGTCTTTACAGCCATGTATATTTTTGTATTCTAGTAAACTAGGTGTCCATCTTCCATGTAATCATTTGATGCCTGTCTTCAAAACGTAGTTGAAGGGGTGGCCTCTTGCCTTGACAGTATGTCTTCAGAAGTGCATTTGAACTGTACCATTGTTCCCAATTCTGTCTCATCCTTAGACCTTCTTCCAGTTGCTACATGCAATATGTTATGCTTAAATGCTTTGTTGCAAGGTGCCCAGCTTCTGTGAGGTACTCATCAAAACCACAGTCCGCTCATTTTTACTGGTTATTGTTTTTCTAGGGTTACCTCTAGTGGCCCTTCCTACACCCAAAAAACCCTTTTATAGAAGGTGGATTTTTTTTGGCAGACTCTTTTTTTTCTTCCCCCTCCCCCCTTTTTTTTTCCTTCCCCTTCCGCCCCACTCCTACCCACCCCTTTGATTCCCAAGCTTTCACAATAATCTTTAGATCAGTCTCATGGTTTGAACTCCAGAGGGCAACTGAGTACCAAGCAGCCACTCACACATCCCATCTCTCCCAGCAATGAGAATGGACAGATGAGCCATGCTTGGGATTCAAGATAGGACCAGGAGGGGCAAATCACCCATTATGGTCATGAGCAAAAGGCAGACTCGTTAGGGGAAGAAAAAAAGAACATATATTTATTACAGACACTAAAAACACTTAACAGAGTAGGACAGTGAGAAGCATTGCCATATTTTGAGAACACCTTCCCCCCAACCCTTCCTTCTTCCTGGGCTCAGTTCTGCTCCTAATATCTCTACCTCCTCCCTCCAGTGGCACAGGGGCAGGGAATGGGGAGTGCAGTCAGTGCTGCTGCTTGTTACATCTTCGGTGGGGGGAGCTTCTGGAACTTGTTCCCCCTGCTCCATTGTGGTCCCCCTCTCACAGGAGACAGTTCTCCACAAACATTCTCCAACATGAGTCCCTCCCACAGGCTGCAGCCCTTCCTGAGCTGCTCTGGCGTGGGACACTCCCTCATGCTGCAATACTCCCAGCACTGAACTACAACAGCGGGGCTACCTTTTCCCATAAGACCCCGGCCTTCTTCAGGCACAGACGCCTTGATCATCCATGCGAAAGAGAACACAGGCCATAAATCAGTGTCTGCTCCACTGTAGATCTTCATGGGTGGCGGGGGGGGGCCGCCCTGCTGTCTCACCACAGGATACAGGGGGGTCTCTGCTCCGGCACACCTCCCCTCTCCTTTCTTCCTCTCTTCCTCCACTGACCTTGGTGTTCACGCATCTGCTGCAACTCCTCCTCACAAGTCCCTCTCCTCCTCACCACCTCCCTTCTTAAATACATTATCACAGAGGCGCAGCTGATTGGCTCGGTTTTGGTGCAGAGGTGGAGCTGACTTGGAGCTGGGGGAGCTTCAAGAAGCTTCTCACAGGGGGCCGCCCCTATAGTCCCCTCCCCTGCCACCAAAAAACCCCACCACTCACTCAAACCTAGGACAATCAGTCTTTTGCCCTTGATCTGTCACAGTGAATCAAAGTTGGTAAATCTCTCCCATATGTCCAGGGATCCTAATCAGAATTTCATCTTCAGGAATCAGCACCTCACAGACATGGCAAAAACCCTGTAAATACAGATTCAAGACAATTCAGAGTTTTCTGTTACGTAGTAACTAACTCTTTCATGTCAAGGTGCATTACACTGTATGCCTTATAAATGTCAAACCATCTATTAATTGCTTGTTTGTTTGTTTAAGCTGCATGCTTTGAGGAATGCTGTGCAATATAGTATAGACGGTGGTGATGATGGTGTTCCTAGACCCGTGGCACAACAGAGCATACCTGAATACAAATTTGAGATCAGGTGGGTATGGATTCATTAAAACATTGTTTTTTAAAAACTGTATTTCTTTTTTCCTTTCCATGCTTACTTTTGGAATTCTTCTGTAAATAGCTCTACAAGAATTTTGAGGGCTTAAGAGTTCTTACTGATGAGTAAAAAAAAATATGAAGAAAATATAGCCTAGGCTGAAATCTTGATTCAAAGGTGGAATAATTTGATTACCTTTTATTAATTACTTAATAACTATTTACTGGTGTGTTTCGCAGTTAAAATTTAATCAGAGTTTCAGTAGACATCAGTTGCATGCATGAAGCTCTCACAACAGTGCAAGTGATGTAATTTTTTGAAATGACAAAAAAGCTAGTTTGTCCATCTTCTTCCTCATTACACAAGTGTTCTTGATTCACTTCCCATTCTTAAGTATTTTTGGCCATACTTTTGCCAATGGGTTAATATACATAAAATGGTAGATTTTTGTTTTGCAAGATTACAGTTATTGTTCTTGGATAGTAACTGGGCAGTAAAAATATATTACAGTTTTTGGTTTGCTAGTGAAAGTTAGTGTTATTTTTGGCAGATGGACAATTGTGAGCTGTAAGTATAAGCAGTATAATAAAAATTAAGTAATTTTGGAGATCCACACTGAACAGCCCTTTAACTAATAGATGCCTAATAAAAATCTGAAAGTTTTTCAGAATTTGAAAGTAGGCAATAATGTATTAATTTAAATAAACAGAAGTTTAGACTGATGTAATGGGTCACATGATAATACAATATTTTTAAAAAATCAGAATTTTTTAATAACAATTCTACTTTCAGCCTTGAGATCTACATCTCTTTACACTTACACATCCACTCACTACTCTTAGTTTGGGAATTGCTTCTTCAGATATTCATCCGTCAAGTACACTGTCTTGTAATACATTGGTATTTGTGCAGGACATATAGAAATCTATAATGTACTATTTTATACTGAAGGACAAAGCCTTCCTTTGAAAAAGCAGTAGCTTTTATTAATATTTTCTTAACACATCTACTAGAGGACTAGGAGCAGAAGATGTGCAGTTACCATACAGTATCTTGAACACAGGACCTCTCACCAGGGAAAGGATGAGAATAGTAATAAGAAAGTTCACTGTGGGAATGAGATTCTTGGATTTTGGCACCAACCCTGTGGCTTGTTTGATGGTTAATTCTAATTAGATACAATATTCCTTCTGGGTATCTTAAGTGTCTTTCTAGGTCTTGAGTGCTTTAGTTTAGTGTCACACTATTATGAATCAGGAGAAACTCAGCTGAAATCAGTGAGATCAGTGTTGCGTAAGTAATGTGAGATGAGCTTGGCTAGGATTATTCTATGGCTTTTCATATCTGTAATTTCTTTCTGGCTACAGCTCTGTTGTTGGAAGCTGTTATACATATGAGGCTCCGATGGGCTCAGGAATTTTTACTGTCATGGTGTTTAATTCTAACTTGGACTGCATATGTTGGTAAAAACATCTGACCTGGCTTGTCTCTCTTTTAACATTGCATTTTCCTTATGGTCTATGTGGTACACTCATGAGAAATTACAGATACAAAGAGAATATAGCGTGGAAAATAATCTAATTGTTTCCTCCACCTTCCAGTAAACATAACTGATGTGTACCCTTTGCTGTCTGAAGATCGGACCTGTAGTTTTCTATCAGTTTGAGGAAGAAATATCTGAATACAGAAAACGTTTGCAAATTAGCAATTTCAGTCCTATTGTCCATGTTTGCTGAGGAGGAAGCCAATGTATGCTGTGGATTGCAGGTTTCAGGCTCATGATGTGTTTTAGCAGAGGTTATTCTCTACTGAAAGGTCCGGCTTCCAAATCGAATACGTTCGATAAGTGTAATTACTGACCTGTGTGTTCTTCATGTCTTTAAGCTTTGTCTTCTAGGTTCATCTGGTAGACAGAGAAGAAAAGGCTGATAAACTGCATGAATAAGTAATATTCAAACTGCTAGCTAATGAAGTGCAGAAGTTACTCATATTGCATTCTGGAAAGTCTGTATTTCTTCTTTGTTTATTGTTTTTACTAAATTTGCTTATGCTTTTAAATAATGTATGATAGATTTCTTCTCTCAGCTCTAACTCAGCCTCCCTGCCTTCCACATTCTCTGAATAGTATAAGTAGTAATGTGTTAGTTCACCTTTTTTTTTTTTTTTCTTGTCTTTTTAAATCCCATTATTTTTACTAGGCATGTTTAGTTACCAAGATAGTACTGGAAACAGTCTGTACTTGTGCTGCAGGGACATTTACATCGGAAGTGTGTTTTGGTCATTAAAAGTGCTAATGAATAGATCTTTTATAAACAAATTAGAGGATGGAAATGTGAAATACCAATTCCGAGGGGAAAAAAAAAAGCCTTGTTAATTTTGTTTATATTAAGAATCTTGTAGGGCTGTCAAAAGCCTTACATTACTTCATACATTACTACATTACTTCATCTCTGCAAGACCTTTTTACTGGAGCTGGAAGCATGTTAAGTTTAAAACATATTTTGTAATGTACAATTGTAATAAGTATTACTTCATAGCAGTAGATTAGGTTTCATGGGCTGTTGTTTACATGAATTGACTCTAGAATGTTTTTAATGATGTACAGCTGTAATAAGCATTTCAGAAAACTTTGAGATCTCTAGAGAATGAACTATAATTGAATTCAGATTGCCCAAAATGCAAGAGATTGGAGTACAGAAGGAAATCAAATCCTGCCATCTTCAAGTCTGGGTTTTATGATCCTTGGATTTAAACCACTGCAGCCATCAATCAAATTGCAACCCACATCACTTGGCTTTTGGTATTGCAAGTTTTCATTCTATTGATACACTGAGCTACCCAACTCTGATTTTGTGCATATGTATATATATTTCTAGGCAAACCAGAAGACTTCGTGATGCTGAACAAGAAAAAGACAGAATGTTGCTTAAGACCATTATAAAAGTTTGGAAACAAATTAAATCCCTCCGTGACTTTCAGAAGTTTACTAACACACCCATGAAACTTTATTTGAGGAAGTATGTTTTGATAACACTTTTTGTACTACATTTGCCAGCAGTGGAGTTTTAATAAGATAGTCAGTTTGGGAACTTACAATTTTGCTGTGAGGGTGCAAAAGTAAGAGTCTGGATAGTGTCTGGAACTGGTTGGGTCTGTCATTGTGTTTGAGTTTGGGGAGGAAGGAAGGTTGAAACAAGAAGTAATTACTGTAACAGAAAAGAATTTCTACAGGATAACGTATAAAGAAAAAATAATTGTATTCATTCTGTATAGTAACTATCTGCTATCAACTCTTAAACTATCTATGCTAGTATTTTTAAACAGAACACACTTTTGATATAATGAAACTAATTCACAGAGAAGTAGACTTATGTTATATATTACAGACTTAATTGTAGCCCTTATGTTAATTTATACAACGTATTGATAACTGTTGTTTTGAAGGGAAGAGGTTGATCAGAAATTAGATGAAAAAGCATACGAAGCAGAAATTCAGGCTGAGATAAGTGAATTACTAGAAGAATGTATGGAAGAATATGAAAAGAAAATGGAGGAGTATAAAACTGAGCTACAAGAGTGGAAATCCTGGAAGAAGACACAGGTTTGTTTAAATCATTCAGTTTCACAAAAAATATTATTACTAAATGTGTTGAAATTTTGTCTTCCTAATACAGAAAAAAAAATCAGTTTCAGCATAGTTATGCATAAATTTTATAATGTGTTTGGATACAGTCTTTCTACTTAGAATTTGTTAGTAAATTAATTGTTAATTAATGAAAATTTGCTAGGATTTTGCAGAGCATTGTCTTCTTGCTATTGATTTTCAGCACTTCAGCAGTTCTTTACATTTAATAATTTTGCAGCATTTCCATTAAATTCATGTCCTTGCAAAGTAAAAACATGGATTAATTTTGTGTGTGTGTGAGCGGTGAAGAAAAATAATTATGAGGTGTTTCTAATGAACAAGCAGTTGATGTCATCTCATCTTAATTTATGGTCAGGAATGTCCCAAAACTGAACAGTTTAGTTAATATGCTAGCCTTTTACCTCTGAAAAGCTTTATTGCTAATCATCTGTACTGTAGTTAAGTTCTCAGCTGTGCTTCAAGAGGATATTGACAGTACAGGAGCTAGAACAGTACGCTGCAACAGGATGATCTTTGAAGTAGTCTGTGGCAGTGCCAGCAAAATCAGACTTGCTTTTGTAGTTAGGTGGCAGTGCACTGGATGCCTCAGGGTAATGGTGATTGTACTTGAATATAATTACTGCCCAGTCTGAACACTAGTTTTTTTGGATACCAATGCAAAATAAAGTTTAAGGAAATGCTTCAAATACACTTTTCAATAATCTAGTGCATCTGCTGATACTTTTATGGAAAGTTTTTTCACATACATGCAGTATGTATGGAAGGCACTTAAAATGTGTGAGGGGAAGCTGATCTGCAAACACTGGAAATTCCTGTTAGCGGAACATAAGTGGGCACATGACTCATTAGTACCATGTCAATTCATTTGTAGGATAAGATGAATAAATGTAATTTCTTTAAAATGAAGGCAGATAGTCTTGAGCATTGATCCTAATGGGAACTGTTCATCTACTTCTAGACAGTTATGCCTCCACAAATACCATGGGGGTGGTTCCAGCCAAAGCTGCTCTCAGCATCTTTTTATTGTGTTAGTTGCAAACTGTCGAGACTGAGATGACTGTGCTTCTTTCCTTTTAGTGTGAAATGTAGTACACAGAACTTCATTTCATGCCCAGAAATGCTTTATTTTATTTTACTACTTTGGTTAATCACTGCTGGTGGTGTCTTACTAGCACAGATCCCATAAATTGAAGGAAGACACTGGAGGTAGAAGAAACTAGGTAAATTTTAAAGGAAATACAAGAACAAAAAGGGTAATATAAAATTAGGCCAAGAAAGAAACAATATTTATGAATAAAATATGTGAACAAGTTGTTTGGCTAAATACTTCAGTTACTGAGGAGAAACTCTGCTTTCCTCACCTCCGCCTCTTTTGCTTATGGCATCTTAAATAATAAAGTGGCTCGTGCTTCCAAGCAAGCTGTACTTCGGAGTAATCTGTAAGTCTGTGGAAGGAGGAACTTGCGTGTAGTTGTTTAAAGCTGGACATGCACATAAAAACTAGAGTTCTGCAGTTTAGGAGATGCTGAAAGGGAATGTGGTAGTCTGAATGTTTATTCTTCTGTTTGTCATAGAGGAAGGGAGGAGATCATTCTGCTCATGCTAAAAATAATGCTAAGCTAAAAAGCTCGTGTTCCAAAGTTTGTGGCACGTGTGCATTCTCTTTGTATGTGTATGCAGACAATACATTTCAAAGAACTGTGTCTACTGGTTGAGTAACCTTCCTTCATTCCTAGGAGAATGCGCATGGTAGCTCAGGCTAAATGAGAAGTCAGTTGCTAGCCAGAATGTTCAAGAAACGCGTTTATTTTGTAAGTTGGTTGAGAAGGTTAAATAAATGTGGGGTTTTTTTGAAGCATATGAATGGAATGCACTGCTGAATTCTGAATCTGAAGTAATACTATAGAATGAGAGAAATCCTATTTTTGTGTGTGGTGGTTTTAAAATTATAGTAATTTCTCATACATGTTTATCACTTGTGAATCAAGAGAACAAGAGAAAAAAACTCTACTGATTGAAACAAGTTGAGGAAGAACACAATTATTTTTATATGCAGAAGTCCAAGAAGAAAAAGAAGAAAAAAGACAGTCATGGAGAAGAAGAATCGGTAGAGGATTATGATCTTGTTGAGGAACGTGTAAAACCCATCCTACCTAAAATGGCCAACAGCCTGGAAATAGAGCAGCAAGTTAGAGAAAAAGCTGACAACTGCAGAAGGAAACCTGGAGAGCCTGTTCTAATTCCTGAACTAGTCCTGTCAGGAAGTGTAACTCCAACTGAGCTGTGTCCTCGGTAAGATAAATGTTGGTGTGCAAATTACTTTGTTCGTAATTTTCTGCTGTTATTTATTGATTGATTGTACAACTTCAGAAGCATGTGCTCAGCATTCTGTTTAGCCTAATGATAAAACTTCGGCTTCTGAAGCTGATAAAACTATTCATTTTCAAGTCACATATAACCTTGTATATAGTGGGCTTGGAGAATACATGTCTGCACATTCCCTTTGAACCTATTGATGTTCCTTTAGCATCTGCATAGAACAGTTGTGTATGAAGAAGTTGTTTTCAGTGTAGAGCCTAGGTCAGTTCTGGCAGTATCACTCTCACTAGCAATTCCTTTACACCATGTAAAGTAAAGAAATCACATAGTAAACCAGAGATTTCCGTGTGGATAAAATAAATAAATTTACTTGTTTGTGTTACTTTCCACATCTACACAGGCAATATAATACACATCTGGCATATTTTAGTTATTTAAACACTGCTTTGTTTTGTACTTACTCAGCAAACAGCCTCATCAAGGAATATCTCTTGGCTGTTCTACTCTTAACTTCTAAAGACTTCAAAATCTTAACTCAATTTGGTATCATATGTTGTGCTTTGGAGGAAGGGAGTAGAAGGGGATTTTGTTTCCCTAAATAACTCTGGCTTTAGTTAATCTAAAACTTGACCTGTTCATTTTTAAATCATTTTATATTCATGAGAAGATAAAACAACTGTTAAATAATAGTTTTAGTGATTCCTGTGTAGTGACATTTTTAGAAGAATAGTGTCTTTATTTAGTGGCTTCTGTTTCCCCTCAAGGAATCAGATTCTCACTAAAAAATAACCAAAGAATAAAAATGTTATTAAAAATTATATGACGGCTTGTTTGACATATTTACAGAGCAGAAGTTTTGCGACGAGAAGATGTGAAGAAACGTTCTGCATTTATAAAAGTCCTTTTCAATTCCAAAGAAGTATCAAGGACTGTTACCCGACCAATAAGTTCAGATTTCAGAGTTCACTTTGGACAGATTTTCAATTTACAAATATTCAACTGGCCAGAGAGTTTGAAACTACAGGTAGATAATGATTGCTCATAGTAACTTATAAAAAGATGATACGAAATGTAATTACTCCTGTAATGTTTGTATTTTGCTCTGTGGCAGTGTTGTAAAGACTGAAAAACCTGCAAAAGACCCTTTGTAAATCATCAATCTTATACCCCTTCCTTGCTTCCCCAGTCACAAACCTTTAACTTTGCTTGTGCTTTTATATATGTGTATGTATATATAAAACATATGGGCTGCATGGGGGAAATTAAATAATTGGGACACATGAATAAATATGTTAGTAGAGCAGCCTCTTATTTTTAGAAGAACTGATTTATGTTGCAGAAAAACTTGCCAAAATGGTGGTCTTAAAACATTATTGTCCACACAGTAAAGTTGTCATAGTGTTTGCTGGAGAGGGGTAAGAAATTCATTGTTAGTAATGTCCATAATTGCACTTGACTTGATCAACAATGCAGTTAAGTCAAACCACCCCTACCCCCATTCCATGTATGAATTAATGAGTCACATTAATAATTTTCAGAGCCAATAAAAGGAGCATGGTCAGGATCCTACTTTTCCTGTTCGATGACTTTTCCTCTTCAGTAACTTACCACTGGTCATTCAGGGAAGGGTATATACCCCGTGCCTGCTCCATTTATGTAACACGCAAATTGAAAGGGAAAAAGAATGCTATCTTGGATTAAAAATATCTGAATGGAGAAATCACTCACAGCATTCTGAGCCTGCAGCTGGCCAGGAAAGAGGGAAGCAGCCTGCAGTCCTGCCAGAATGGGGACTGTGTGCCTTACCCTGCCTTTTGCTGTAAGGGGGAATTAGTGAGGCAGAATCCCTCTGGTGTCTTCACCTTATGCCAGTGACTGTCACAAGCACTTGCATTTTGTACAGCGATGCTCTTCAGAGTCTAGAGTTTGTCATACTAATCTCAGGTGCATTAGAAAGGTGAAGAGGATGTACTTTTAAGAAGAATTCAGACCAAGTTAGCTGCTGGTAGCTGAAATGTCTGCTAATTGAGTATTTTAGAAAGTAAATTAATACAGTTGCCTCAAATGAATTATTTCATGATTAAGTCATAGTAAAAACTTTTGTCCAAATACCCCACAAAACGTTTTTAACTTCTCATGAATACATGTATAAATTTTTTACTATCATCATGTTTTTTTCTAGATATATGAAACAATGGGTATGAGCAGTACCACCTTGTTGGCTGAAGTGTTCATACCTGTTCCTGAGACTACAATTCTGACAGGCAGTGCTCCTATGGAAGAAATAGAGTTCAGCAGCAATCAGCGTGTGACGTTGGACCATGAAGGAGTTGGGAGTGGTAGGGACTATCCGTCTTTTTCAGTTCTGTGTTTTTCATTTTGCTAAAACCCTGTAGCGGTAACAGTCTGGTGCGAATTTCAGAGTAAATTCTCTTAAGAGCGTTTGCGGCTTATGTAACTGAATTGTATAAAATAGTCAGGATTTTTACTGTTAAATTTTACTATGGAATTATTGTTTCTTATTAATTTTAAGCTATATAATAAAAATGTGTGTGTTTATTATTCGGCTTGTAGTATTAGTGGAGCTCTACTAGCTATAGAAAGTGTTTGGGTTTTTTTAGTATTTAAGTAATCAGGCCTCTGACTCTGCAGAGCAAGAAGATGGTATTAATCAGTATAGCTCCAGTGATTTTAATGTTTTAAACCACTGAAGAACTGGCTGTATAAGTGTATACGCAGAGTAATTTTTTGTCTTCCTATTTGCTTTGTTGACAACCTGTAACATTTTATCCCTGGGACTTCAGAAAGATAAAACGAGAGATAGGAAAAAGGGGTAACAAGAATAATGTATAGCAGCATGTGGAACTCTCAAGTTGATATAGTAAGTTTGAACAGCATTACAAGATTATCGACTTGCATAAATTTGCCACATATGAAATACAGGTCAAGCTAAAGCAGAATAGTAGATAAAAAGCTGTGGAGGAAAGAAATGTGGTCAAAAAGTCATTACAACAAATGTGAGTGTAAATGACATTGACCATAACTGTATATACAATTGTGTATCACAAAGCTTTAGGAGTGACTTTTCAGTCATGCATAATTCTTTTGGCTCTGAATTTCTGTTTCATTAATAGCAGTATACTGAATCTGAAAACTACCAGAAACATTAAATAGTGTGCATCTGTGAAGATAAGCCTTTTGCATAGTTTTCAAGGCCTAGCCTTTCCTTCCAACCCAAATGGAAAGCCTTTCTGTAGATGGAATGGAATCTTGCATTCCTTTCGTAGAGCAGAGTCCTTCCCCAGAGCATGAAGCACAATCAAGTTGTTTCACATTGCGCCATTTATATGCAGGCACAGGTTATTTGATTACTTATTTTCATCAAGTATTTTTAAAGATGTCGAGACGTTGTGTTTCAATACATATGTATACTACTTTGGGTTTTTTTTCCCCCTTGATAGGTGTGTCCTTTTCATTTGAAGCTGATGGTAGCAACAAAATGACTTTAATGACCTCTGGGAAAGTATCCAATAGTGTCTCTTGGGCAGTTGGAGAGAAAGGAATCCCCTTAATTCCTCCAATATCTCAGCAAAACATGGGAATTCCAAGGTAATATGATAGGAATTTTCACTGATTCATGAGAAACTGATTATACTAGTATTTTTTAAAAATAGGCTTTCATAATCTTTTTCCTTAAGTTTAGTTATTTTACTTTGCACTGTAACCCCCTGCAGATATCTTAGGATACATGTTAATGGTAAAAAGATTTTAGGTAGAAATTTTATCTTTTAGTATATTATTTATTGACAATATTAAACTCAAGCCAATTAACTCACTTTTATAATATTCTAATAGAAGACGTATATATTGGCAAGAAACTTTCCTGTAATTTTGATGAGAACAGAAGCTTCAGCTCTTTCTTAGCTGAAGTGCATTTGGGGAGGCTACTGGGACATGTGCTTTAAATGATTTTTCTGTGATTAGTGATTAAAAATTGCACTCTGAAAGAAGTAGAAGTTAGTATGGATCTTGGCACTGTTAGTGAATTAATCAGTGAAAAATTCTCATCTGTTGGATCATTCCAAGATAATACTCTTTCATGATTTTTCTCCATCAGAAACAGGCCCGTTTTTCTCCAACAGGCCTGCTGACCTGCAGAAATGAGTTTATTGTTCCATTCAAAACAATCTAATTTTCCCTGTGGCTGCAAGTTACGTATTGTAGATTATTTGTCCATTTTGTTGCTTTTATATAATTCCAGTAAGGTCAAGGAGATGATACATAAAGTCTGCTTTTGTAATGTCCTCAGGTAACTTCACTGTAAAGCCTTACGGGTTTTCCCATACTTATTAACACTGACCAACTAGCTCTTCCAGCTGATTAAATTCTGTCAGATTTTTTTAACTTGGAGTCTAGGCATTGGCATCTAAATCACTCTGTTACTATTTTTGACCCAAGCTGTAGCGGTTAGAGTAATTTGTTGATCAGCAAACGAGTAACCCGATTTCAATGATACTAGAATAGCATGAGATTAAAACATGAGGATGCATTCCCAAAGGCTAACTTTAAACTTGAGAGACTAATTGCTGTAGTAAATGGAAAAATGGGAAATTTCAGAAGGAAGTTATTGGTAAAACACTCTTTGATTCACCCTCTAGAGATTAACAGCCCTTTGTGACTTCCCATTGTCTGTTGTGAAAACAGAGACAGGATTTTCATGCCTAAAGTTAGTTTTTGCTGCTCATTAGCTTTTCATCACAATTGTGATTCAGTGTGAATTTGTTCAAGACTGGTACCTGAAGATAGAACCTTGAAGTTAACACTTCATCTGCTGCTCCAGTAACTGCTGGATATTTGGCTGATTCTAACCAAGTGTGAGAAAGATCCATAAATTCTTAAAGCTTTCTTGAAAATATTCAGATAAGTAGAGAACAAAGACTCAGATTAGCACATGTAACAAGAAGGGGCAACATCCACCTTTTAGTGATATTTGGCTAATAACATCCATGTCCTGGTGTACTGAATTTACATGGCAAGATTTTGGTAGTGGTGGGGCCTGAGGGCTGGCTTTTGCAAGAAGTTACCAGAAGCCTGGCCAGCAAGTCAGTGTACAAATGGCCTCCAGAATACCTGCTATACTTCCTTGTCTACTGTGAATACAAGGAAGTAAGCAGGAGTATCCAAAGGAGTGGAGCTGGGACTCGTAGAGTCAGGGAGGACCAAAAGCAGGGCTGCACCATGAGGGAGAAGGCTGCCAGGGTGTCCCAGCACAGGCAGTGTCCTCGACAGCCGGCGTGCAGTCTTAGAGGAGCTGAACGTGACAGGCAGAGCAGGGGGCTGGCAGCAGTCCCAGGCACGGCGAGGGGATAAATCGCGCCCCAGGGTCTATCTAGAAACAGCAGGGAAGGGGGCAGAGACCAAGGCTACAATGCAGGTCTGAAAGAGCCAGCCGGGAGACAGGTCAAAGGCAGGATTTAAGACACGGTGCAGGCAAGGACTGTACATCTGAGAAGTTCTTTTCAGTATGGATTGTCAAAACTTTGTTAACTTTCATAGTGCTAGGCAATTTTTCATCTTACTTCCTAGTAATCAGCAACATGGAATAGTGTAGGTCTATCGTGAATGTATCAATAAGCACCTTATTACCTTGTATTAAAAGTTCTCTTCTACCAGTTCCTTCATATTTCCCTTTTACTTTCTTCACAATTCATCATTCCCTCAGTTGCATAGCTACAAATAAGAATTGTGTAGCGGAATTTACTATTGAGGTTGCGGGGAGCTTTTTGCTTTTTTTTCTACGATTGTTTTAAATAGCTGTTTATATTGCTAAATCATGTGGCTTAGGTATAAGTTCTGTCAATTCTGTCTTTTTAGTGCTTTAAAAAATATTGATGCTATTGCATCCATTGGCACATCAGGCTTAACTGACATGAAGAAACTAGCTAAGTGGGCAGCGGAAGCAAAACTTGATCCAAATGACCCAAACAATGCAGCTCTGATGCAGCTGATCATGGTAAGTGGCTTTTTTTCAGAGCTTTAGGGCTAATGGACCTGTGAAACACCTAGTCACCAGTACCTTCTCAGGCAATTTGCATGCATGCCAGGGAGGTTTTAGTATTTGAATTTGTGATGGACATACTTGTGTGAGTGTTAAGAAGCAAAAAAGTCTGCTAAAAATATGGTCTGCTCATCCATTTAGTAGTAGGTTAACAATTTATTAATGAGTATGATTTATTAATACATTCAGTAGTATTCTAGTGGTGAAAAATAGGTATATGGGAATATGCAAACTGATTAATTTCTAAATTAAAAAAAAAGAAAAAAAGAAAAAAAAAAAGAATTTGTTGTTTCCTTAAAGTGCAGGGGTATTCCTGGTGTACTTCTATGGTATTAAATAGGAAGAATTGCACAAGGAGATCTACTGTGTTGTAGAAGTTGGGACTTTTCTAAACATTAAATTGAGGAGCTATTTACACAGCTGAGGTTGTGGAAATGAATTTTCTTTACAGTACAGCTTCCTAGGTTACTCTGCTATGTTGTAGTTTTCCTACTCTTTAAAGTGTTGTTTATATTACAAGGAAATGCAATTTTATTGTATCCTTAAATGTATAATCTCATATACTTTGCTCAACAAAAGCCTACTTTAAAACACTTAGTGTTTCAGTCTCTGTTTGATCCATCTCTATTGCTTTTGCTTGAAATGAACATCCTTGCAATATGCACGTAAGACTTACAAAAAGTTATTTCACAGACTTGTTACGTTGTATGAAAAGGTGAATAATTTTTTTGACTAATTTAGGTTGCTACAAGTGGAGAGGCACGGGTTCCTGATTTCTTCAGATTGGAACAGTTGCAGCAAGAATTTAATTTTGTTTCTGATGAGGAATTTAATAGATCAAAGAGATTCCGACTCTTGCAGCTCAGAAATGGGGAGGTGGCAGAGTTCCGAAACTATAAGCAAGTCCCTTTGCATGAACGAGAAATCAGTGAGAAAATCTTCCAGGTAGAATGTTATTTGAAATCTTCTTTTCTAATTTTAATGCTAATAATATTTAACTTGCAGTTAAGTCAATTTGCCCCTTCAAGAATGTACAGCTATGCTGACATGTAAAAAAATTAGAATTTTATTCCATCAGTCTTTTCTAGTGTTATTTTAATCTAATTAAGATAGTTTCCTTTCAAGGCCATATTTCCACAGCTACACTGTGGAAGGAGAAAAAGAAAACACAGCAACTGCTGTAGAAACAAACGTTCTAAAATAGATTTTTTTTTTTTTTTTTTAAGTGACTTCAAATATAGAAAGATAATGCAGAGATAATTCAGATTTAGGCTTATTAACTTTTGAGCCCATTCTGTGGAGACTGCTAGAAGGAATGATTAACGAGAATTAAAACCTTCTTATGTTTTACTACAGGCTATGTTGAATTTATTTCTGTTTTAGTACATTGTTCCAATTAGTTTACCCTGTACTTGTCTGTCTGTTAATAACCTTACTGAAATGCAATGCATGCATTTTTTTATTTGGGTCATACTTCAATTATTTTTAATGTCAACTCTATTATTAATGTTAAGTCATGCATTCTTTTGTTCTTTAGCAATTTGTGTAGCTAAGGATCATTCTAGTGTGTTCATTGCCTTAGCAGAATCAGAATCATCTCAGATTCTGGCAACTGCTGCTTTATCCCTACTTCTTACATTTATTTGAAAGATTCCTTCCTTCTATTTCTTTTGGAGTATATATTTTTTTAAAGGTATTTATTAATTCAGTCATGTCTGGCTATTTGCAATAAATATTATTCCTTTTTAAATGTTAGATTAGTTTTGTATGTTTTATTTAGAGATGTGCCCCATCTTTGATATACATTTCTGATCCAGTTGATTTTACAGACTAACTTTGTTCATTTCATGTTATTGTTCAATATTGAAAACCATAGTTTAAGAATTGTTATTTTTTTTTTTTTTCCATTAAGGGTAAATAGGATAAACTCATGATCACCCATTCCAAGTTCATTTTATATGACATGATCTTCAAAACTAAGTTTAAAGTGGTATTGTTCCTCGTTGGTTTACTAGCTATTTGGCAAAGAAGTCTGAAAATTCATAAAACTGTGGAAATACTGTTTGGAAAACAGTGTCTGGAGTTAATGTAGTCCTGCTTTCCACTGAAGTGGTGAGACTGTTGCCAGCACTAGATGAGGTCAGCTGTGTATTTGTCTAGCCAAGTCTTAAAAGCCTCTAAATGGGAGATTCCACAGCCTTTCTGGATAACCTGTTCCAGTGCTGTTTCTTCCAGTGATTATTTAAAAAATAAATAAATAAAAAACCCCTCATGTCCAACCTGAGCCTTCCAAGTTGTATTTAATGGCTGCTTTTCCTAGTTATGTTGTCTGGAGCTACAGAGATGAGTTCGGCACTCTCTTCTTTGTAACTGCCCCTCAAATAGTTGTGGGCAGATACTGGGTTGCTCATTGATTTCTTCCTCACCAGACTAATTAATTTGCACAGATCATCCAGTGCGAGAAAGGAAAGACACTGAAATACTGGATCAAGTGCAGCACAGAGCTACCAGAACATCTGTAGGGCTGGAGCACGTGACATACAAGGAGAGGCTGAAAGGACTGAGTTTGTTTTGTCCTGAGCAGGCAAGACTAAGGGGGTATCTTATGGCTTCCTTCAGGTACCTAGTGATCTGGTGTAGAGAAAACAGAGCAAGAATCATCTTAGAGTTGAGATGATGATAGGCACAAGTGACTCCAAGAGAAATTCAAGTTAGATATAATGAAAACATTTTTCACAGAGTTTATTCGAATTCCAGTATACTTTGTCCAGCAAGTTTGTAGAATTGCCATCTCTAGAGATGCTGGAAATTCAACTGGCAAAGGTCCTGAGCATCCTGATTGGAGTTGTTCCTGCTTTGAGTGAGGGTTTGGGTCAGATGACCACCAGAATTCTCATCCAACCTACATCATTCTAAGATTCTGACCACTTTTGTAGATCCATGTACTCTAGGCCTCTGACTGTCTTAATAGTCCAGTTTCTCCACACACTTCTTGAAGTGGCAGGCCCCAGCTGTCAGTATTTCAGGTATGCCCTCACAAGTGTCAGGTTGGAGGTGCCAGTAACGTTCCTTTGTCTGTAGGCCATGCTACTCCTAATGTAGCTTGTGGTTTGCTTTTTGCCAAAAGAACATGTTGTTGGTTGTCATTAAACCGTAACCCCCAGGTTTTTTTCAATATGGTTATTATTTTGCTGATTGCTTTCCAGTCTGTGCCAGCGCATGGAGTTATTCCAACGTCAGTACAGAATTTTGCCTTTTCTTCATCGAGGCTTCAGTTGTCATAGTCTTCAGTTATCAAGAGCTCTTTGAATTGTGGTTCAGTCATTCATTCAGTCAGTCATGTATTAACTGCTTTTCCTAATCAAGTATCGTTGGCTAAATTGCTAACAGTGTATTGTGTCTCCTCATCCAGGTCACTGATGAAGACACTGAGTAATATCAGCCCTATAATTAATTCCAGGGGTACTTTGTTAGCTAGAGGACACCAACTGGACATTGAGCTATTGATCCGTACTGTTAGACCTCAGTTGTCCATTCTGTTTTCAACCCAGCAAGCAGTCCATTCAGTCCATGAAAAAACATATTTCCTCAGGTTATCCCAACTGCATTGTACTTGTTGACAGTGGTGATTGTTTTAATCTATTTCACACTACAGAGGGTGAAAGGAAGGAGAGGTAACCTGGGAGGAATACAGAGAAGCTGTCCAAGCAGCCGGAGTTCAGGATAGGAAAGCTAAAGCCCTGATAGAACTAAATCTGTCTGGGGACATCAAGGGTAACAGGAGCTTCTATAGGTGTGTTGGTGATAAAAGGAAGACTAGGGAAAATGTGGGCCCTCTCTGGAAGGAAACAAGATCGGTTTACCTGAGATATGCAAAAGGCTGAGGTACTCAGTGATTCTTTTGCCTCAGTCTTCACCAGCAAGTGCTCCAGCCACACCACCCAAGACGCAGAGGGCAAAGGTGGAGACTGGAAGAATGAAGAACGACCCACTATAGGACAAGATTAGGTTCAAGACCATCTAAGGAACCTAAAGGTACACAACTCCCTGGGACATGATGAGATGCATCCACGGGTCCTGAGGGAACTGGCAGATAAAGTGGCTAAGCCACTATCCATCATATTTGAGAAGTCATGGCTGTCCAGTGAAGTTCCCACTGACTGGAAAAGTGGAAACATAGTGCCCACTTTAAAAAGGGAAAAAAAGAAGACCCAAGGAACTAGAGGCCAAACAGGCTCACCTCTGTGCCTGGATCCTCCTGGAAGATATGCTAGGGCACATGGAAAATAGGGAGGTGTTTGCTGACAGCTAACATGGCTTCACTAAGGGCAAATCATGACTGACAAATTTGTTGGCCTTCTACAACAGGGTTACAAGCATTGGTGGATAAGGGAAGAGCAACTGACATCATCTACCTGGACTTGTGTAAAACATTTGACACTGTCTCGCATGACATCCTTGTCTCTAAATTGGACAGACATGGATTTGACGGATGGACCATCTGGTGGATAAGGAATTAGCTGGATGGTTGCACTTGAAGAATTATGGTCAACAGCTCAATGTCCAAGTGGAGAGCAGTGACAAGTGGCATTCCTCAGGGGTTGATGTTGGGACCAGTGCTGTTTAACATCTTTGTTGGCAACACGGACAGCAAGTTCACTGATGACACCAAGCTGCGTGGTCCAGTTGACCTGCTGAAGAGAAGAGATGCCATACAGAGAGACCCTGAGAGGCTGGAGAAGTGGGCCTGTGTAAACTTCATGAAGTTCAGCAAGGCCAAGTGCAAGGTCCTGCACATGGGTTGAGGCAATCCCAAGCAAAAATACAGGCTGGGCAATGAGCAGATTGAGAGAAGCCTTGCAGAGAAGGACTTGAGGGTATTAGTGAATGGAAAACTATGAGCCAGCAATGTGTGCTCACAGCCCAGAAAGCCAACAGTATCCTGGGCTGTCTCAAGAGAAGTGTGACTAGGAAGTTGAGGGAGGGGATTCTCCCCCTCTGCTCCATTCTTGTAAGACCCCACCTGGAGTACTGTATTCAGCTATGGGGTCCCAACATCAGAAGGACATGGACCTGCTCAAGTAGGTCCAGAGGAGGCCACAAAGATGACTGGGGAGCTGGAGCACCACCTCCCTTATGATGACAGGCTGAGGTGGGGTTGTTTAGCCTGGAGAAGAGAAGGCTTTGGGGAGACCTTATAGCGGCCTTGCAGTACTTAGAGGGCCTGTACAGGAAAGATGGGGAAGGACTTTATATCAGGGAGTGTAGTATTACGACAAGAGGTAACAGTTTTAAACTGAAAGAGGACGTTTTTAGATTTGATACTACGAAGAAATTCTTCACTGTGAGGGTGGTGAGGCACTGGCACAGGTTGACCAGAGAAGCTTTGGCTGCCCCCTCCCTGGAAGGGTTCAAGGCCAGGTTGCATGGGGCTTTGAGCAACCTGGTCTAGTGGAAGGTGTTGCTGCCCATGGCAGGGAGGTTGGAATGAGATGATCTTTAACATCCCTTCCAACTCAAACCATTCTATGATTCTATATCCTCTCTCTATTCCTAAATGACAACTTCGGTAGTCATACCTATATCTCTTAGTGGAAGTTTCCTGCTGTCAGTTAACTGCAGTAGGCAGCTAAGTATCACACAGATGCTTCTTTGTTTCCTCTCTCCCACCCTCAACAGGGAAGAGAATAAGTAGAGCAAAAGCAAGAAAACTCATGGGCTGAGATAGTTTTATAAGTGAAGGTAAGAGAAAGAAGAAACAAACAAAAACCAAGTGATACACTTATCACCTCCCACTTGTAAATTGATCCCTAGCTCATCTCTCAGCAATGGCTACCTTCCCAAAAATCTCCTTCCTTACTGTTTTACTGTCTTAATGACATTTTATGGCATGGAATATCCCTCTGGTCATTTTTAGTTAGCTGTTCTTGTCATGTCCCCTCCCAGCTTCTTGCTCACCCCCAACCTACTTGGTGGGGGGAAGTTGGAAAAAGAGATAGTGTTGACACTGTGCAAACACTTCTCAACAACAGTTAAAACACTGGTGTGTTATCAATACTATTTTAGTCACAAATTCAAAACATAACACCATACTGGGTGCTCTGAAGAAAATTAAATCCATCCCAGACAGACCAAATACAATTAGGCCATGAAGTTACCTCTTCCTCCCCTCATTGTGGTATTTCCCCAAGTGATTCTGTTTTATTTGTCTTCTCCAATCTTCATACAGTGTACAGCACTAATATGCAGTACTGCTGTGAAATCTTTTGCCTTATATTTTTGGTTCCTTGTGTTCCTCAGAACACATGGGTCCATCATCTCTACCAATGAACCCAGCAGCATGGGCTGTAGGATTTCGATAATCCAAGACATGCCATACTCACAGTCAAGCAGAATGTCTTGATACGCTTACAGAAATAAAGCAACACAAGTGTCTTGGATCAAATGGGAAGAGTTTCAATTTGGTGATCAGCACCAGAGTCAGGGCCAATCAGTCTGTATCTGACTATTTGCTTTATCAGAAGTTTGTGTTCTTTTCCTGTTTCTTCTGAAAGTTCATTTAACACCAGCAGTTTACTAACAGTTAACAAGTACTAATTAGTGATTTGTGGTACTTAAATTATACTGCAGTAAAAAGGCTTCTGAAGGGAGCAGTGCATATGCATGTGCCAGTTAGACATTTAACTTCCATTATTGGACTTCTAGCTTAGTCATTACTAGAGCTGCTAAAAATTAAGATTTCTGACTCAAAAGAGCTGTTCTTACTTTATTTTGTTGCTAATCTGAAGTCATTAAACAATAATTACCTGAAAAAATTAGAAAAAGATTTATTGTGGAAATAACGAAGCACCGTGTTTTCAGAATGTGCTTCCTGGACCCTTTATCTTATGAAAAAATTATGTTCTCTTAAGTAACGGTAGTAAAATGACCTGAAGATTAATTTTACTGAGTAGCTTTTACATGATAACTGTCTGTGGTTCTAAAGCCAACCTGATTTGCAGACCACCATTAAGCTGCAAGTTCTGGGAGAACCCCTGGGCTTGTAGGCTCTGTCTTTTGCTTGGAAGCTGAGTGTCAGCTCTAACCTCTTCTTAATTTATGAGTTGCTTTCCTAAACTTGTGAATAAAAGTTGCATCTGTCAGTACAGCTTTCATTGAAGTCCACCAGAATAGTAACCACAACCCTGAGAAATACTCCATCAGCCTACTCTTCTCCAAGAACCAAATGCTTCTCATAAATCTTTTCTTGTGATGGTAACCAGTATTCATCTCAGCCCCTTGGTTAGGCTGCAGACTCTTCTATGAAACATCAGGCAAAGCAGATCTTCACACTCTGGCTTCTTAAAGAGCTTTCACTTTTTCGCAATGTACAAAGGTTTTTATTATGCTATTAAGTATCTTTATTTCTTAAAAATAGCTCAATAATTGTTTCTCAGCTAACTCTCCTACAAGCAGAGTTTCTTCCAGTGTTAAGACACTATGAAAACTACTTATGTGTATTAAAACAGTTCAGATTTCAGGTCGTCTTCCATGAATACTGCATCACTTCTGTTTATAAAAGGATTATCCCTATTGCAGCTGTAGTAAGAGAAGCCATTTCCAGTTCAAATGGAATTTCAGTTTACAGCAGCAGGTCAAAGTTCAGCTTTAAGGGAAGAGAGGGAAATCTTTTAAGTTATTCATAGTAATTTAAACCACATGAATCTTGTAACAATGGAATTCTTGTCTCTATTCATGGAAGTTTAGCAATGCTATTGCTGTATACATTAGCATTAAAAATAGCTTTGTAAACCTCTGACATCTGTTTTGGTTTACTGTGTTCCATATATTAATATTAATGAAATATTTACCATTTTTCTTGTATGTAATAAAGCACTGAATATATATCAAATCACAAACTCTAGTAAATATCTTTAGGACTATGAGAAGAGACTGCAAGAGAGGGATGTGATTGACAGCAAAAATTACCTAGATGCACACAGAGCAATTGTTGCCAGCTATCTACAAAAGGTAAGCTGCAAAAAAATACAGATCCACCGTATTTCCTTAGGCCATATGTTGCTTCTATACTTGGATGCTTTGTTTAAAGGAATACTAAAGATTCATCTCTAAACATGACCAATAGACATCTTTAGAATTAAAAGTTAGACCTGAAATTGCTCTAATTGAACAGGTGGAGGTTTGTGAATGACTCATTTAATGTTATTGAAAAAGATGCAGTATACAAAACGACCAGCCATTCTGGATTTTTCTAGCAATTCTGTAAATCATTTTTTGCTCCAATGTCCCAGCGATTGTACTGTTATGTCCCAGGTATTCGCTGATTTCTCTCTCCTCCCTGTTTTCCTTATTGTCAGCTGTGATGCTAAGAACTTAATTATCTCCATGAAAGTGGCCCTTACTGCTGTTAAGAATCATTTGATGCAATGCACAGAGTGTCTTGTTCTGTAGTCTAAGGCAGAGGGCGTATCTTCCATCACATGACCTTCGTTGTTTGATTAGAGTAACATATTGTCCCCTTTATCTTGATCTAATTTATTTTTCTAGTTTGTTCATTCTGGTAGGATGACATTCTATTTAATCCTTAGGGAAAATATTACAGGAAAACATTGGTCATATAAACAAGAGAAGTTTGCAATTTCAGATTATTTTGGCAAAATAGCAAATGCAGAACATGGCTACCAGTTTCTTACCAGTACTGGAAATATCAAAAAGTGTATCAAATCTTAGCTAGCCAACAAAGCATGTATTACGATGATAAGGTTGATTTGATGCAGGACAAAACAAATTGTCTGTTAGAAGGAATGGTTTGTTAAAGAATCGTAAACAATGAAGAGTGTTTAAATCTCCCAGGCAAGTGCCAAAGCCCAGACTCATTATGATAATATTAAAAAATTATTTTTAACAAAGCTGTCATGTATGTGTCAGTCCTGTATGTTTTGCATGGTATTCAAATGTGTACTCAGACATACGGTTTGTGCAGTGCACTGAATAATAGTCTAGTAGTACAAAGTAACATACATTATGGTACCTTTATTTGTCACTCTTTTAGATTAAATGCAAGTAGCCTTTTTTAAAGTAATACCTGGATATTTTACGCTTTTATAAATTGTTAGATGTGCTTGAAAATCAGACTGCTCACATCAGAACTGAAATTCGGTTCACTCTGAAATGTGCTCTTTAGATGTATATCACTTTAACACAAAGATACAATAATAATAACTTAAATAAAAACTTTTTAAAATAACAGAGGGAGAGGTATTGCAGAAAATTATTATTGCTGTTCTGAAACTGATCTTGTAATAGCACAGTATATAAGGGTGTTACTAGTGTTAGTGGTAGCAAAAAGGATCAAAAGAGATACTGTCAGTCTGCTTCCACGTAGTTGTTGGGACAAGAAGGAAGACTTATCTTTGTGATTCAGACTATAACCTCAGCATAGAAATGAAAGGAACTAAGGATTTTAAACATTTATTTGAAATCACAGTATTTGTAATACAGGCTTCATCGATTGTTCCGTAGTCCAAAGTGTTGCTTTTATTCCCCATAACTAATACTATATAGATTTCTCTACAGCCTTTTCTGCAACTTCATTTAGACATGGAAAAGAGATGTCTGCCAGTGTTGTTTGTTGTTGTGATTGTTTCTGATGATGAGGTGTAAGCAGATAAGACTTCATTTTCTGATTATATGCTTTCATATGTTCTTATATCTGTCTAGCCAGTATGTTTGTAGAGAATCATTTATAAAATGAGCTTATAGTATGTTCTGAAGAAATATCTTGTGGAAAGAAAATTTTCCTTGGACCGTGACTCTTTTAGAAGTATGACAAAATAAATAATGTATGTTTGGACATTTTATTTGTGTTTAATAGAATGGAAATATTTGCAGTGGGTTTGGATTAGAAATACACTTTTGTCTCTTCTCCCTCCCCATTCACAGGTTCGAGAATCAGTAATAAACCGTTTCCTTATAGCAAAACACCATTTCCTTCTCTCTGACCTTGTCAATGAAGATGAGATTCCCAGCCTGGAGTAAGGGAGCTATCTTTATTTGTTCTAAATCAAAACAATGAATGTAAAACTGTCTCTGTCTCTGATTTTTTTTTTTTTTTTTGCAAAGTGTATTGATGTGACAAACTGATTTGATTTTGTGTTTAGTATAATATATAAACCTCCAAACACTATGTATACCTCTGCCAGTACAGACAGTGTATTGATACACAAAATGCATAAAAACCTTTTTAAGAAAACGTCTGGTTTTGGCAGAAGTAATGTGACAGCATGTAAATAAGATTTAGGACAATATAATGCATCCGGCTGTGATCTTAAGAGCTGAGCACAGCACTAGCTGGTGCCAGATTGAATGATTTTCAAATATCAGACAAGCATCAGAGGTAGTAACACTACTACTGGTTCTATAGGTTAGGTGATGTTCACTTAGAGTCAGTGTATATGCTCTGCAAATAATATACAGTAGATTTTTTTTAACAGTCATTTCCTTTATTTTACTTCTTACATATTTCTGTTTCCTGTAGCTGGATGTTGTCATACGCTGTTTACTTTCAGAAATGTTACTGGGTTTGGAAATTACTTCTTTTTCTTGTAAGATTATTATTTGTTTTATTACTTAATCACTTCCTTTGAATTTTTGTTCCAAATCCCATGCTCGTTGATTTTGACATTTATCAGTCATCACAGCATAGATGACTCTGAATTAGCATTGCTCCGTTAAAATGTGTATAAGTGAACAGGTTGTGAAAGATGGTTATTTTTTCTTTTATGTAGAAGTTGCTTGTGTTCACTTTAAATGTGACACACTTAAAGTACAAAGCTTTTTCAATCAGCAGTATAAATCTAAACAGTCCCATCTGCTGGAAATACAGAGACTTGCTATCTTACAAAAGAGTTCATCCTATTTCTTAGTTCATGTTTTCACATCACAGGGTCAAAAAATCCAAACGAGACTACAGTCAGCTTTTGAAGTTGTTTAAAATGAAATGCTTCATTTCTTTTCATGAATACTAATTCATATTGGATTCTACTTTCTAACTTACATGGTTAGTAAATTTAAAATACACCATGATTTGTTTAAAGCATCTACTTAGTGAGGTATTTGGGTAACTCATGGTTTTGTATTATTTTAACGGTAATTACTGTGATTTTTTTATTATGTATAAAGAATAATGCCATTGGCTATCAGTTTTTAAAGTAGATTTTGGAATGTCTGCAGTTAATATCAATGATGTGTAAAAACATACATCTGCTTTTTATTCTTTTCCTGTTTTTTTTTTTTTTTTTTTTTTTCTTATTTGGTTCTGCTTTGCCTTGGTTTATAAGTTCTGAGGGTCCAGGGTATGTTGTGGCATATTCATTCTGCTTCCTTTCTATAGCCTGTTGTTTGTTGTACGTAGCTGTGTAATTAGATTTTTTTGCCTATTCTATACAGTGGTTGTTATCATCTGCTAGATACCTTGTTTATAGCACTGTAGTTTAGATCTGTCTTGAAACTGTGTAATTGTCTTACTTGTATCTTACCTAATTTTGGAAAAAAACCCTATTTTTGGACATTAAAGTTATAATTTCTGAAATATAAGACAGAACTGGACTGTGTCATACTAAACAACTAAAGCATTTTGACATTTCATAGAATTTTATGGCACTAACAGGAGCATATATTTCCTTCTTCTGTTAGTGCATAATTTGCATGTGTGTCATGGAAATGCTGAAATGCTGGATTCTATGCAAAAATTACTAAGTATCTGTTTTATGATTATTAGTATTTTGGGACTCAGCCTCTTTAAACTGGCAGAGCCAAAACGACCATTAAAGCCAAGAAGAAAAGAAAGGAAGAAGGTCACAGCACAGAATTTATCAGATGGGGACATAAAACTGTTAGTGAACATCGTTAGAGCTTATGATATTCCAGTGAGAAAACCAGTGATGAGGTATGTTTAAATGCCTGTTTCCAGTACAGATTCATTTTCTGGTTACAGCTGTTTTGAGAACAGCTGAAGCAACTAATGTTGAAATTCAGCCATGCATGTTGTTTTGATCCTCACGATAAAAACATACATACATTTATCTTATTAATAATGATAAAGAAGTGCTGTTTTGTAAGTTTGTAGAATAATATGACCATTTATCAATAACTACGAAATTCAATAAATGTTTTACCAAAACCTGTATTCATCTGCTTGAGGAGAAAACTGTCTGGAAGATAACTTACAGCTTTAACAACTTTATAACTGTGGAAATACCAGATGAATTACACCTTAAGCAAGTGTGCTGGTTAGGGCAATTTTAGTTCACGGTATCTTAATTAAATACAAAAAATAAGTATTAAAAAAAATCCAGTTCTTCATTGTGGGATACTATATTTGCCTCCTGAGTGTAGCATGATGGTCTTCTCCTTCATGAACTGTTTGCTTAAGTTAATGGGCTGAGCATAATTTGGCTCTGACTAATTTTAAAGGTGACTGTTACCTTCAGGCACATTAAGGCAATGCCTGCACTGCATGATGCTGTGTCCTGTAGAGATACCAGAGTTCTGAATGCTCTGCCTCAGTTCCAGAATCAATGTATTAGTGCAGCATTCTCTCTCTCTCCCCAAATGGCTACACCTTGCATTTAACTCACAGGTGTTTTCAAGCTGACCAATTACTCTGCATACAGAATTTAGCATCTTCTGCTGTTTTATCTCTTTACTATAATAAAGGTTCTAGTGGATTTCTGTAAATAAGTTCACACTGAGAAAAGGAATTCATATTAGAAACATGTTGACAGGAAGGAAAAGATTAAAATTTGTATTCATGATCTGTATTACAAAAATAACTAAAACTCATCCCAGTCTTTTTGCATTCTGTGATATCTTATTTTGAGCCTTCTCCATGAGTAGTTATTCTTTTATAATCTTTACTGTGGTTTTATTACAAAAAAAAGTTATGTGGAAGCACTATAAAAATAAACGTATTAACATTTATTTCGCTCATGGTTTGCCGATTGTGTAATATTCATATGGGTTTAATTTTGTCATAGAGGCCTTGCCTGGGTACCATGAAGTCTACACTGTTTATGAATTCTGTGGGGATTAATGTCCTTAAACCGAAAAACCTGTAGCTCAAGGAGATTGTATGGGGGGAGGCAAAAAAAGAAGTCTGGGGTTGATAAGCTCTTCAGAAAAGAGAGCCTTCAGGCACTAAGCACTTTTTTGCAATGAGGCTTACAAGAGCTATGCACTCATTACCCCTTTCTGGCATTCTTTTTGTGTTATTTGATCAAATAAATATCTTTTCAAGGTCCAAGTCATAGCATAAAAATATTAGAAGTATTTCCATAATTCTGTATGGTCAATACAGAATGTGAGGGTTTCATATTTTGTAATGTGTTCTCTGTCTTTTGTTGTTGTTGTTGTCTGTTTCCTCTCGTAGCAAACTTCAACAACCATCCAAAGCTTCAAGGTCCTTTAATGAGATGTTTGCAGCCTCTCCATCAGCTCAGAGCCCAACTGATAGCTCAGATTGGGCATTCAACCAGGTATATTACAAAATTAACATTTTCTTACATGAAGTTGTGAGCATTCCTCTTTTCTACAGACAGTAATGTTCACCATCAGAAAAACATCTTATTAGTGAGGGTGGCTTGCCCACTTCTTGATCTCCAAAAAGATAGCAAAGCTGCAAAAGGTTCAGAGAAGGATGTCAGAAGAATGGAATGGCTACTGTGCAGTGAAAAATGGTAGGGCTTTTCAAACAGAAGAGCAGTAACTACAAATAGGGGAGGAGCAATATGGTAGAGAGGCACAAAGTCATGAGTAATACAGAGACTATGGATAGGGACTGACTGTTTACTGGCTCTTTCACTACAAGGATAGGGATTGTCAAATGAAGCTGTTAGGAGTTAGCTTCAAAACAAACAGAAGGTTGTGATTCTTCATGCAGCAGTTGGCAGGTACCCAGAGAAGTTGCTTATGTGTATTGTGGTCTAAAGAGGTTTGCTTGCATTGAAGTCAGTATTGGTCAAGTATGTGGAAGAGTGATCCATTGGGAGTTACTAAATAGAAAAATCATTATAGGCTTAGGAAAGTTCTTCACCTGAAAACAGTTGAAGCCTGGAAGAGTAATAGGAAAAGATAATCATAGATGCCTGCTCTGTTTTGTATGTGTCTGCTGATGGCCGTTTTCACAGCCTGAATTTTGGACCCAGTATACTCTTAGTCTGAAGCAGCACAGCCATTTTTATTGCTGATACTGAAACAACATCAACATTTGCTTGCTCCTGAGAAGTAACTTCAGCATGCTTCTGAGTGAAGATGGAAGCCCTTCACAGTTTTCTCCTGTTTTTCTTATGATTTTCCTTGAAAATTAGAGCTTTCTGAAATGTGGAAAAGATTCTGCCATATACATTTGAATGTTAATGAAATGTTCCATTAAAGCATTTTTAATCACATTAGGGGTTTGTTGTGTCTAGTGGAAGTTGCTTATCTGTAATAAGAGCCGGTTTCAAGAGACAACCAGGATTGTAGCAGCAGGCTTCTTGGATTACAGATAAGGGGATACAAGTGCACTTTTTTCTCCTGGTGTCTGGGTCACACATTCTGTTTTAGTTACCCTCTTTGATTAGATAGCCAGCAGCTTTCCCACTCGCAGGAGAAAATGTTGTTTTGCTGGTGTATATAATAAGTATGTCAAGTATGCTGAATCTTTTAGAAATGCTAACATATAAAATATTTTTTTTTTAAGTTTCATAAATGCTTAGAAGCCTGGGAAGTGCAATATTTAAGGTGTGTTAAAGTTTTGTCTGGGCCAGACCAGCCTGATCTCCACAAAGTATACATTTCTTTTTCTAAATACATGAAAATGTATAATTTAGTATGTTCTGATGACTTTTTATAGAGATTTGTTTCCTTTATTTTTGTTTCTATTTATAGGTTTTAGTCCGTCCCTTTGTAGAAGTTTCTTTTCAACGAACAGTCTGCCGGACAACAACAGCAGAGGGTCCAAACCCCAACTGGAATGAGGAACTTGAGCTTCCATTTAGGTATGGCAAAATGAAACCAAATTATTTATGAGTAATAATAATTTAATTTGAGCGTGCAAATTCATTCAAATTTTCCTTCTTTTCTGTTCAAATCACTTTTTTTGGTCTATTTAACCTTTTCAGAGCTCCTAATGGTGACTACAGTACCCACAGTTTGCAGTCAGTGAAGGATGAAGTCTTCATTAATGTTTTTGATGAAGTACTACATGACACTGTAGAGGTGAGTTCATAATGGAAGGACAGTGTACATCACAGCATATTATGAACTTTTTGAAGTTGACAGAATAAAACTTTTCAGTGTAATAACTTTCACCATCCTGTGCCTCTTTTCTCTATTTTGTCATTCCTTATGATTTTATATCTAGTCAATACTTCAAGATTGTTAGAGGGAGCAATCTTTATAGTGTTGGCCTTTGTACAAATTAAGTTTGTACTATATAATCTGTTGCGAGACTTAAACACGTATATGTAATCTGTTTTACTGATATTTAGTGAGATTGGAGATACTAAAATTGAGAGGAAACATATGAAATGTAATCTGAATTCTGTTCTTAAACTTAACCAGAATTTTTTACTAAATTCCAGATGAGTGATCCTAGTTCCTATATTTTTTATTAACTATCTTTTTATGCTATGTCTTATCCTGTTTGGTGAAAAAAAAATCTTTTGGTTGTATATATTAATTTTTTGGAATGAGATAAAAATTGCAAGTACTAGTTACAAGAAATTTTTGTAAACTCTCGGTGTTGTTATAACTCCTTCCCCTGTTGAAACCGAGGAAAGCTTTCCCAGTCAATTCAGAATGATCAAAAATAGCTGCACTCAACATTCTTGAAAATATAACCCAAAAATAAATAATTCACACATTTCACTGAGAACAGAATTCAGTCCTCAAAAGTGAAATGGTATTTGGTGAAGCAGAAGGAAGAAAGATAGTCTTGAAACTCAGATGTCACTCTAGCTGTTAGAGAATTATTTTTTTTAAGTAACGTGTAGGCTGATCGTACTAGATTTGGAAATCCCTAATAGGCAATACACATGAAAACAATGCTTCCATTCCACGGGGTTTAGTTAGATTTTCATACAGTTTTACCTTCAAAAAGCTGTTTTAAATACTAGTAAAATATTTCATTAGAAGACCAAAGCTTAATCTACTTTGTCTGAGAAGACTCTTGTGGACTACTTGTCAGATTTTTGAGCTCTCCATCACAGGTTATACAGGACTTGAACCCTGAAGTGCAAGCACATTGTATCATGGACCATGATGGTCTTGTATTTGTTCAGCATCTGGCATGCTTGAAAGGCATGCAGAATAATCATTGCCATACTAGTAATTGAATTTATATTTATAGTAAATTCTTAAAACAGTACAGAATTTTTATTAATGCCTTGATTAAATTGTTGATTGAATTAAAGGAAATATAGCCATCTTAAAATGTTTTATGTTGGGCAACTTTTTAATAGGATGATCTTGAAAGAGGAAGTGGGATCCGCACTCATGTTGAGAGACACTGGCTGGGATGTGTTAAGATTCCATTTACTACCATATATTTTCAAGCGAGGGTAAGTGTCAATAACTTGGAGTAAATCTCTTAAAATACAAAACTAGAGAATGGAAAGGGGCTCATAATGGAATGTCAGATTTAATTATTTTCTCTGTACTTGTTAGTTTATTTTTATGATAGTGTTTGAGAATGTCTTTGAAACCACTGTTTTTTGTAAAATTTGGTGAGTATTTGTCAGTAAGTTCAATGTTCTGAAGGGAGAAGAGATAAACTGACTTCTACACTGACAATGTAGTAAGCCTGGCTTACTTCAGTAATGAATTTAAAAGTGCAAATTCTTTAGATGGTTTCGCCAGTGGCTTTTGAGATTTTTGGTATTACACAGCCTGGATAGGTGAACTAGAAATAGGAATATCACCTAGATAGGTGATAGGAATCTTGACCTAACTTCTATTTCCACAGTTTTCATGAATCACCAGATTTTCACTTTGCCTCTCCCAGACTCTTCTTTCCTCCATTTTTAGAACTTTTCAAGAGAAGCTTTCTTCAAGAGATAGCAGCAGTTAGTCAAGGGAGTAGTAGTAAAACATGCAGTTCTTCACAGGGGAAAGGCATCTTTTTGTCCAGCCACCCATCCTGGACTTAGGTTAAGGAAAGTAATTTTTCATATCAATAGTCCTATCATATTGTAATCTTGCAGTAGGAGTCTTTTTCTACAGGGCAATTGCTTTCATGCACATTGCAAAAGTCTTCAGTTTCTTGATTCATGAAGATTCTGACATTAGTTGTGTCCCTAATGACACATTAATTTGCTCTTCTCTGGCTATATGGGGCACTTCTCAGAACCTTACGGACTTTAAGGCATACTGTGAGCCTCTTGGATTCTTTGGGTGGAGGATAAGTCTGTAGGAGTCTCATTTAATTGAAGTGCAGTGGTTGGAATTTGAAGTGGTTTTCTTGGGCTCTGCGTCTGCAAGGCATAACAGAACATAGTTGTCATGGGATTCAAGAAAGCATGGGATTCTTTTCGTTACTCAGAAATTTTGGACCATGTATGTCTAACCAGTGCTGGTTCACTTGCTTCTGTTAGATCATTAATAATACACTATCTTCAACTTGGGACATTAAGCAATGAATTTAGGTGTTTGAGGGTTGTGGTGCCCTATAGAATGAAGCTTTCATTGACTTCAAAGAAGATGTAGGTAGTAAGGTCTAGCCTTCTTTTCATGAGTTTTTGGCCACTCTGTGCAGACAATGTCACGTTATGTGACCATTGTTGTTACAGGTCAACAAACAAGAAAGAACAAGATCCTTTACTCTTTTTTTAGGGAAATGTTCCATGCTGAATGCATGAAACTCATCTGAGAAATGTGTCTACTCACAGTCCTGAGAGGCTTATTGGGCAGACTTAGACATTTCAACAGACTGTTTACCAATACATAGTGAATGACACAGCCTGTAATCCATCTTTGAGAATTACCAATACTGATGTCAACCTCTGTTCTTCATACTTCTTGTTTGGGTATGTCTTTTTGTTGTAGAATCAGAGTAGCTCCAGGATTCCTGTCAGATGCACTCATAACTTTCTTTGAGGAGGTGTTTCAGTTTGTGATTCCTTAAGCATAGTGTGAGTGCCTTCATAGATTCTCCCAACATTAGAGATTCTTTTCATTTGAACAGGATGTCTTACTGAATTTGAAAAAGCCTGATAAATGCAGCAGTTATATCAAGGTGCATCTAGCAATTAAACTTCAGTAACAAATGAAGCATTTCTTCATCCTGTTCTACTATACTGCAGCAGAAATTCTGAGTGATTTAGTTAGTTTCCTCTTCATCAAAACCTATTTTTGTTCTTAAATGTTTGATGAGCCAGCCCAGTGAGTCACCTGTTCATCTTTCACATCCACCAAAGATATCCTTCCTGATGGCAGCCATCTGAATTCTGCCCAAATCAGGATGTTAATCTTGTTTTCCTCTTAAAGCTATGTACTTCCACTGTTGAGACTTGCCCAGGCAAGTGTGGGACATGCCATCTTGTCTGACATGACCTTTCAGAAAGACTTTATCTTCTGTTTTGTGGTGGCAGAAAGAGGTGCAAAGGGCTGGTGAGTCTATCAGAACACTCTTCCATTGGGAAGCTGACTGAATGGGCCCAGTTCCAGTTGTACCCAGGAAGCATCAGCAGCTTCTGCATGGAAGGTGCCCATCTGTGAGATGCTGGAGCATAATTCCCACATCACTCAAATATAGGCATACTGCCTTCAGAGGCATAGTCCTGCAACCTCTATTCTGCCAGTTTGTCATTTTTCCAGGTAAATAGTGCCACACGGAGATGGCTGTTTGAAAGAATGGTTTCCATTACTTTAAATATTAGTGTACATAATATTCAAGAGAGGCTGAAATCCAGTTGTAATTAACACATTTAACAGTGAGATGTCTCATATTTTCACCAGAGTTAATCAGTTTATATGTTACATTCTCTCATTTTATTGTTTTGTAACTCGGAGCACTAAAGAAACCAAAGGAATTAAATATTTGAATACAAGTAGCAAATGTATTTGAGAAAAAAGTTTTGCTTTTTTTGCTTCTAATGAGAAGTTTTTCTCTGTATGTGGTGTAGATCGATGGTACGTTTAAAGTAGATATTCCTCCAGTCCTCCTTGGCTACAGCAAAGAAAAGAACCTGGCAATCGAGAGAGGTTATGATTCTGTGCGAAATCTGAGTGAGGGCTCATATATAACACTGTTTATAACCGTTGAACCACAGCTCATTCCTGGAGAGTCAGTCAGAGAGAAGGTAACTAATCAGTAATTCATCATATTCTTGCATTTTTTTTCCAGTGGTGCAGTTCTTGAGTAGGTATGCCTAGTGTACTGAAGGATACACTACTTGAATAAGAAGGACATTAATACAAATTGTGAGCGTTCTGAGTGTACTTCAGATTTTTTAGCTCAGTGCAATTTAATTGGATGCATCATTAAGTTAGATGGACAGTTAATGCATGAGAAATAACTTTCACCAGGCACCTAGTTCCAGTGTTAATAGAAAGCAAATTTGCATTCATTATCTGTAAGCATATAATTTTCCCATTTACTTCTGTAAACAATGAAGTATTCATGTGAGTATTTGTGAACAGTGGACGAAAAGAAGGTGGCAGATGCAAACATAGTATTTTCTTGCTTCTGTGTTTATATTATTCAAATACAGGATTTATTATTAATGGATTCATGCATGCCTCCAGATCTTGAAGATAATTATTTCTAAACAGCAGCTGTTATTTTTTTTCAGTTATTTTACTAAACCAGAAATGCTTCACCCTAACAACAACAATATGTCATTAAAATGCGTACACTACTTGCTATTTTATGTAACATGCAATGATTCAGAGATCCATTCAGCAAGGATATATGTTTTTCATGCACTAACAGAGGAAGCTCATTCTTTTCCAAGTCAGTGCTACACTTGGTCATTTATTAGAGACAAACAAGAACTGCAGAGAAAGGTCTGTTGTTATAATTTCTTTTTCAGAACAAAAATGTATTATGCATTCTAAAAAACCCTTTTCCTGTTAAATTACAGTCTTGGAAACTCTCCAGTCCTATGTTTTCTTGCTTTCATGCAATACTGTGGAAATTGTTACAATTTAGTAATGTTGTAAATAAAGAAAATTAATAAAGTGCATTCATGGATGCCTTTTAAGGTTAATTAGTTGGACTGATAAGATTATTACTAGGACTTGAGCCATAAATAGGAACTTAACTGCCTTGAAGCACCTTTAATTGATGAGACCTTATTCGAGAGTTTCATAGTCTTGGTCTTCACACGCAGTAATTAGTTGCTGGGAAAAAAAAATGTACTGAATTTGTAAGGGAAGAGAGCTCTGTTTATAAAAAGATCTGTCTCCAGTACTCTTTCAAAAGAAAAATCATAGAAACTCAAATAAGTGGAGAGATCATTGCAAAATATTATGGACTACCTGTTGCGAATCTTGACCTCTTTAAATAATAAGCAAATGTTTGGGATTTCTTGCATAGATGCAATTTGATGCTTAGTTACCAAAAGGTTATGTATTGTATTAATACTTAGTAAAGTGGTGCAGTAGCTATATTTAAAATTGATGAGAACACTTCAGAGGGAAAAAACAGCATATTTTATTAGTCATAGATCTTTCTGGTGTAAGTTTGCTTTCATTTCACATATGACAGTAGGAGCTAACTGCCCCTTGCCAAAACTCAGACATAAAGAAGTAGAAAGAGACTGAAGTACCTTCCATTCTGAAGATGCAGCAAAGAATCATAGCATAGTAAATCACAACACAGGGAATGAGTCCTGTTCTAAGTATCAAGAAATACTACCTGTCAAAGCTTCTCCTCACAAGGAGCCACACTGAAGACAAGGGGCAACAGATACAAGTTGTACCAGGAGGGGTGTTATCTCGATATAAGAAAGAAATTTTTTACAGTGAGAACAATCATTCACTCAACCAACCACCCCAGGAACGTGGTAGAGTCCCCATCACTGGAGGTTTTCAAGATGCAATTGGACAGGCTGCTAGATAATCTCATCAAGGCTCCCTTTCCCACAAAAGGATGGACCAGACAGTCATTGGAGGTGCCTTCCAACCTGGGCTGTTCTGTGATTCCATGAAAACTAAACTCTACCAAAACGTATGCATTGTCACTGAACAGGAATAAAGACCAGGAATAACGAAAATGTTGCTGAGGGAAGAAAACTGTTGATTGGTACAGAAGATCTGTTTTCTAAAATTTGTAGAACAGTGGAAAAACCAGCTATGATTAATAAATGAGTGGGAGTTTTGTCAGATTTTTACTGACTCTTTGCATTAGACATTTTTTTAAATCTTATAAAAATTTTACTTAGCAGGAGATGGATGGATACTAAGCCAAACCAAACTATTTCTTTAGCAAACACTGTATATTTTCAAATAACAATTATATATTTACAATATACATTTCATTGTATATTTTCAAAAAAAAAATTTTTTCTAAGTAGAGCAGGACCAAATTAATTAAGAGACTGTGCTATTTTAGGTGGTATGTATCTGATGAAATCTGTACAGAAAAACACTAATAAAGTGACACATGCTTGTATTCTGTGATTGAAAAAGTTATAATTCTGTGCTGCAAGTCACATATATACTTAATGTAGAAAGTGTCTGGCATAAAGCGACAATAACTAAATATTTTTGCCGTCCTTCATTCCTATTTCTAGCCATTCCTGCTGTAGTGAAGTCATTCGAAATACTTGTGTACTGGTTTAGGATGTTAAGCTTAATTTTAGTTTAATTTTACAATACCTTTTTTTGTTTAATTACATATTTTTCCTCCCTTTCCTGCTGTCCTTCCTGAATCTCCATATAGATGAATGAAATGCTTAAGAAGGTACAATGTTAATATATTAAATCAGTTGAGAGATTCCCGTTGTTCGCTTTTCAGGATTAAGCTCAGATTTGTGCCATTCAGGAGTCTTTTTGCACTTTGAGTTACTTGACTCTGATGTTGCAGTTGTTTATTTGTCTGTAATATTTGCAGTGAATTATTACATTTAAAATTATAAAGTGCCAGAGACAGTACGTTTCGGCTGTTAATTATGGTGGAGAGGAATCACCACTGTCTGCCTTCTCTGCTGATTTGGATGTCTAGCTACAGGGCAGTGCCCAGCTGTTCCACCTCTGGTTATTTTGAGAAGAGTAACAAATTACAGAAAGTAGTTTCTTTTGAACAGAAATATTATGAAGGATGAGCTTTAATTCTCAGCACCACTAGAAGTATACAAGGGATTCTAAGTAGATGAAAAAAACTATTTTGACTGATCCTAATAGCTTTAAAAGATGACATTTTAGGTGACATATGAGTAAATAATTGTCACTGTTATATAATTAATATGTGCTTTTGAGTCCTGGATTTGCTTCTGGAAAATCTCATCTAAAAGTGTTAAAATTTTAGACAAGTCTGAATTATAAGGATTCCTCTAAAAATGACTTGTACCTTCTCTGCAAATATAACGGCATTGCGCAGGGTTGTCACAGTATTATTTATATAAAAATCACTGAGACTTTGTGCATTACCTCAATTGTGGTTTTAATGGAGTGTTATGTGAATAACATGTAGGATTATACCTAACCATAATTGTCTACCTTTGAATTATATATGTGGTGTTACATACTCATCCCTGCAGTTTTACTTGGCCATAACTTTCACTACATTTTCCAGTGCTTTAATAAAGCCAGCTTCTAGGTACGGGTCTTTATGTGCATTCATAAGTAAATGCAAATTGCCTGATCTTCCATTACCTTGACTTTTCTTACATGTCTCTGATGCAGAGAATATATACTACAAGAAAAGTTCAAAATGCTGTTAGGAGTGAATTTCACATTCCTTTTATGCTCCTGTAAATGGTGAAATAAGACCAAATATAGTAAAGACTTAAGCCGAAACTATAAATAAAACTATTTTTGTATACATTCTACTGTCTTTTGAAGTTTGATACCCAAGAAGATGAGAAGTTGCTCCAGGCAGCAGAAAAGTATGAAGCTGAATGTACATCAAAGTTTCCAAGCCGCCAATGCCTAACAACTGTAATTGACCTCAGTGGGAAAACAGTTTTTATTACCAGATATGTCAAACCTCTGAATCCACCACAGGAGCTTCTTGATGCTGTCCCAAATAGTGCTCAAACAGCAGCAGTAAGTACTTAGGAAAGATAGTGAAGTTTCTGGGATATGGATTTTGGAATGTGTGTGTTCACATGTGCACACGCACAGAGGCACGTAACATTTTTTATACGTCTGCTGTATAGCTGTGCTTTTTATAAAGGAAAAACTAGAGATACAAAATAAAGTAGCGGTGACTTATGTGTGATACACAGTAAGTCTACCCATAATGATGCTGGAAAAGGTTATTTGTCTTCTGTGGAAAAAGTAGGTATATTAATGAGTATTGTTCTTTGAAAAATAAAGAATTATGCCAAACCTCAATGGGAGCAAATCATATCAGTCTTCGATATAACTTCTAAAATGAGCTGGCTGCTACTGTAATGAGGTCAGTCAGCGTATCGTCATTGATTTCGGTGGAAATAGCACTACACATCTGGTATAATAATGCTATTGTTATATAGCCATGTTGTGAGTTGAAGGGGTGACTTGCTTTATTTTGTGTTCTTGCAGGAATTGGTGGCTCGATATGTTGCTTTGATTCCTTTTTTGCCAGATAGTGTGTCATTTGCTGGAATTTGTGATTTATGGAGTACATCAGATGTAAGCAATGCATTAAACAGAAGTTCTTTATCCGCTTGAGTGTGATGTAACATCTTAGCAGCCCCTGCTTTTGGGTGGAGATTGTGCTAGATGAGCTCTTGAGATCCCTTCAGACCAAAATTATTCTGTGATTCTATTATAGTAAGGTGTATTTTTTTTTTTTTTGTGAACTGTTTATTTCAAAGAATGAAGACCAAAGCTTGAGAAAAGTTGCTCATCCTGATAGGAGCCAAAATTTTTATCTTTGATAGGTTGCAACTGATTGACACTAAGAATGCTTAGGGCTTTAAGCTTTCCCTGGTTTCATTTGATTATAAAACAATCCAAAATGGCTATTCATGCACAAGGAAAAGGATGCTGACTGATGGAGACTTTAAAACTAGACTTAAAATTGATCATTGTTGTTGCAAGGAACTACAGAAAAAACACTGCACGTAATGTCAGTAATAAGGTAATATTTAGCCTTCTCTGTCAGATACAAATAAATCCTGTCATCCATAGAATAACAGCAGACGATAAGTTAATCATAGATGATGTTTTTACCATCTCAGAACTTTTCTGCAAGATTCAGGATAACTCAAAAGACAAAGACCCTGGTTCTTGTGGTGAAGTCCCAGGTCTGCATCATGGATTTTCACAGCATTCACTCGTCATCCTGCATGCTAAAGCAGAGCTCAATAACCAATAAAGATCAGTTGCAAAGATCTGAGGGGATTGTTTTTCTTCAGGAGTGTTAAGAAATATTATTAAATGTTGGAAGTTGAAAATGCAGTTGAAAACTGCAAAGAAAGACTTTTTTTTTTTTTTTTTTTTTTCCAGCAATTTCTTTATCTTCTGGCGGGAGATGAGGAAGAACACGCCGTGCTCTTGTGTAATTATTTTCTTGGCATGGGGAAAAAAGCCTGGCTTATCATTGGAAATGCTATTCCTGAGGTAAGAGGATTTTTTCATTTGATTGGAATGTAAACTTTAGTTCTGTGAAGTCTTTGGTTCCCACCACCGGATAGAATTGTTTCTTGCTGGCATGTTTTTCCAGGAAGTATCTAAAATTGGTGCTACTGAAACTGATTCTTTTCAGAGAGGGGAAAAAAAAATGTGGAAATTATATCTCAGTATAAATATTGTCTATTTTTTTTTTTTCTGGGACCCATGTTTCCATACTTAAATCTGGTAGTAGCTCTTGTCCTCGTAGTACGCTTCCAAGCATCTGTAAACCTTGACTGGACTTTAGCTTATATAAATGGTGTGTCCAGGAGAAAGGTAATGGAGAGAGGCCATTCACAGCAGCTGTCATGAATACACAGACTAGGACAGAGTTTGGGTGGAATTGGGTAAAGGTTGAGAGGTGGCAGGAAAGGTTTAGGGGCTTGCCAGGGATTCTTACTGGTACAGGCATGTCCCGTGATTCTCTCTGCAGCTGATGGCAAAGCTGCAGCAAGAGTAATGATAGATTTGTTCAGGCTTGACAAGTCAATCTCCATCTGCGTTCTGTACCGCAGGCAGGCTAGGCAGTCTGCTCTGCCTTGGACTGCTGTGTCCCCACCATTGCTGTGAGCCCACTGTGGCAGCAGTCTGGCTTAGAGAGGCTAAGAACTAAAACATTTAGACTCTTTTGCCCCTTAGGAGATGCATTTGTTCGCAGGGAACCACTAGGATTTCCAATGAACCAGGCTGAGAGATTTGGGGGTGTTCAGCCTAGGTAAGAGAAAGCTCCAGGGAGACCTTACAGTGGCCATCCAGTGCTTAAAGGGGTTACAGGAAAGGTGGGGAGGGACACTTTATCAGGGAGGGTTGTGACAGGTTGAGTGATAATGATTTTAAGCTGAAATAAAGTAGATTTCGATTAGATATAAGGAAGAAATTCTTTTCTGTGAGGGCGGTGAGGCGCTGGCCCAGGGTGCCCAGAGCAGCTGTGGCTGCCCCCTCCCTGGAAGGGTTCAAGGCCAGGCTGGACGAGGCTGGGAGCACCCTGGGCTGGGGGAAGGGGGCCCTGCCCATGGCCGGGGGGGTGGAACTGGGTGATCTTTAAGGTCTCTTCCAACTCAAATCATTTTATGATTTTGTGGTAAGACTGTTTATAATGCAGATTTCTACCATTAGTATCTGAAATTACCAGGCACACGCGAAAGTTTTGCTGAGCAGAATTTTGGGAGGAATCCCTGTCAAGATTAGTTCCTTTAGCAGCGGCAGGAACAGGTACTCCTCCCACTCCAAATGTGATGGAGAGGGTAGTCCTTAATAAAGCAATTAGTTTATGCATGCTGTAAGGAGGGGGATTATTCCAGGTATTTCAAAGTACCTGGAAAACATGAGAGATAAGAAGAAAATACAAGAGTTCAGGGATTCCTGATAGAGAATATAAAAAGAGAGCTGAGAAATTCCTTAAGTGCCTGTATGAGGCTGATGGATGAGACACAAAGAGCGCTGCCTGGGCACAGCCCTTCACCTCAGAGCTTACCCGTGGATGACACGTGTAGCCAGCTAGGGCACACTGATACTGAAATGACAGACATTAAACGTTCCTGTATATAGTATTTCTCATCAGTTTCTAGCTGAACGAAGACAACTTTCAGATCTGTATTTTAAGTATGCTTAACATTTCTCTGTCACATAAGAGACACAGAACACATTATTATGTGTTGGTTGAATTGTAATGAACCTGTAAAATCTTCCAACCCGATTGCACCAAGAAGTACTATTAATCTCAGTAGTAAAAATTTAATATTCCAAATAATACAAAGCATACTGTCTTTGTGGCCAGTTTTAAAACATCTTTCTCATCCCCTTTTTTTCTTCCTAGGGACCAACTGCGTATGTATTAACTTTGGAACAAAGTCAATATGTAATTTGGAATCCCAGTACTGGATGTTTTTATGGGCAGTATGATACTTTCTGCCCCTTACAAAATGTGTACTGTCTGATCAGCTGTGATAACGTAAGCGGACCCAGCCTTGTCACATTCCTATACCCATAAGATTTGATAAATTATTATTTTTCTTGACCATATGCATCATTTGTTCATCAGTGTAACTATATTTATGCTGTCATGTTGTTAGTGATTTTAGTCAATCTTAATTAGGTTTTTCATCTACTTTAAATACTTAAAATAAGAAAGGCTTTTTTAAATCAGCATTTAGGTGATCATGGCATCCACTCATATAACTTTCACTACTGGGTTTTACTTACACGTTTCCCAACTTGGATGGCCTAAATTTACCACGTCTTAGCTGAGGAGTAGCAATTCAGCAAAGCTAATAGTTTGCAGTTGAAATGTAACTGAAAAATTAAAAGGAAAGGAAGGAAGGGAACACTTGAGTTACATACGTAACGGTGAGCACAGCCCTGACTGTTCAGTGTGCCAAACAGAGGTGGCACTACAAGGCACAAAAACTGGACCGATTTTCTGCCTGGTGTCAACACCTCCCATCTGCTACAAAATACAAGTGATATTAGTGCTTATTCACAGTATGTTGTTCACGGTGTGGCTGGAAACCCTCTGAGAGAGAGCAGCAGGGATGAGGAGAGGGAAGACAGCGGAAGAGCTGTGCAGCTCAGGGCAGGTGACCCAAAGGGCACAGACTGGGGCAGAGCTGAGCCTGTGGCGGGAGGGACAGGAACCCTGGGCAGTTCCCTGCCACCAGCATTCCCTGGCTGAGCTGGAAGCTGATGCTCACAGCTTCTGGGGACATGATAACGAGGTAGAGAGACATGTGGAACTGAGGAAATAGAAGGCAAGTTCAAAAAAAGAACCTTAGGTTTTATTTGAATGAAAACTGGAGGTTGAGCTTAAAAGTTTGCTCCTTGTTTTTTTTTTGGAAACACTAAGGAAACAGTTAGGCTTCCATTATGCACCAAACTATAGCAAACATTTGCTTTTATTTTCTGTGTTGAAAATATACCTGGAGAAGTTTTAACGCATGACACTTCAAACAACTTTTGTGTTGTTTTTTAATCTTCTGGGGTTTTATTCTAAACACAAATCATGACTTTGGCTGAGAATTTAAGATTTATTTTAAAAGTGTCAGTTCTGTCTTGAAAGTGTTCTGGTAAGCAGTTGAGTTAGTGAATTTTTTTTTTTTCTTAAAGTACTAAACCTACAGTTAAGAAAAATGTAACTTAATTCTAAATTGCTGGAGAAGCAGCTGAGGCCTTCAGCACTGACAACCTAATCAGCTAACCTTGGACTGTAGAGCTCAACATCTTTCAAGGCAACTGATTTCATTCTACATGTGACAGCAGGTGTGCTGCCAGCAGAACAATACCACTTCAGCTTCAACCAGGTCAAAACAAGCTGTTGTGTCACATAGGCTGTACCCAGAACCATCAGTTACATACTAATTAGTACATTTACATACTAATTGTCAGTACATTTTGCAGCCTTAGCAGTACTTATTTAAAGGTTGTTTTGAACAAGAAGCCTAGAATGCTTGCATGCTCCACTCTAGGCTCAAACACAGACCAAACAGCGTCTATAAAGATGTGGAGTGCAAAACACCAGATCCCCTTGGTGACAAAATATACATGGGAGCTGTGTGTGTCTGCAGCATCTACTTCTACTCTGCATCATAAGCTTGAAATAGCAACGGTGCTGGGGTGCAGCAGGCTACCAGAGGTCACAGCCACAGCTGCAGGGCTGGGCCACAGGCAGAATTTCATCACAATTCAGAAGAGCTGGATGTAGCAATCCAGAGGAGTGGAAATGCAGCTCAGGACAGGGGTGAAAATTTTAGAGTATACTGTAACCCAAAACCACGTGATGCTGGAGGGAGGGCAAAGGCAGAAGTTTCTGAAAACATAGAAAAACTGCCAGGGTGCATTGAAAAAAGGAAATACTGGAAAAAAAGATCCAGCAGGAAGAGTTGCCAACTGCAGACAGTAATTGTGTTCGTACACTGGTATCAGTCCACACTCAGAAGCACAAGGCACGAGAGACCAGCAACATCCCTTTTGATGTGAGAATGCAAAAGTTGCACAGCAGCTGTGACTACAAGATTGCCTTGTTTCTCATCAACTCAGATAAGTAATTGCTCTAGAAGGTCAAGATTATATAGTATTTTATTGCCATGTAAGTAGAATGTGTTCCATAGCTGTGATTATATGCAAAAAACTAAAACAAACTTGCTTTTTTGTAGGTCTGGTTTAATATGCAAGAATATGATTCCCCAGTAAGGATAAATTTTGATATCAGCAAACCAAAACTTTGGAAGTCTTTCTTTTCAAGAAGCTTGCCATACCCTGGTCTCAGCAGTGTTCAGGTATTAATGTATCTATTACCAACTCAATTTGAGGGTTTGAGAGAGCACAGATTTAACACAAAGAAACAGAGAGTAAGTGCTTTGGACTTCTGTGGTTAAGTGTATTTATGTAATAGCATTGGATTTTAAAAAAGATTTTCCCATGCACTCCTTAACCAAAAAAAAAAAAGGCAGGAATACTGCAAAGTATTTGGTTTTATACGGAGTGCACAGCTGTTGTCCTCTGACTATCTGTGTAAGATCTCAGGACAACAGTGAAATAAATGGGACAAATCTTTAACACAAACATATCTATAGTAGCTTGGTATAAAGAAAATACCAACTTCTGTTACACAGCTAGGAAGGCATTATTTCAAGCTGTACACACATCCATCCTTACTAAACAAACAGGAATTTCTCTACAGTTTATCAGACATATAAGCAGTTAAAGCTTACTGGAAAAAAAAATACACAGTATTACACACAAACATCTAGTTAAAAGTTTTTATCATGTCTCTACTAAATAACAGATTATTTTAGCACAATTGTGAACTCGTAAGCACATCAGGACAGTTAACTTCTGAAGTTACACTGTTGTATAGCTAGAAGATATCACACATATTAACGTTTAATTTTTATTTGTTGCTAGCCTGAAGAATTAGTTTATCAGCCGTCGGACAAGGCTGCTGCGGTGGAACTACAGGGCAGGTAATTCTATCCCCTTAACAAATGCTGTCAGTGCTGATCTCTAGAACATATTTATACATAGGTCCTAAAAAACTGCTTTGAAAGCTGGGGGTTGAGAATGGCCTATCAAAAAAAAAAAAAAAAAAATAAAAATCAGAATCTGTAGTTCACAGGGCTTTTTTAAATTTTCTCTTTTTAATAGAGATTGCCAGATGGAACAAACTGATCAATCCCTGCTGTAGTTTCCTAATAAACAAAATGCTGTAGAGGTACGAGAGGAATATAAACTAAAAAGGGTTGTAAGGCCCTGGCCTCCCATTCTGTTACTGCCCAGGCTGGCACCCTATAGCTGTGTTAGCATTGCTTTTCTGTGCTTCTAGGTACCAGTAAATTTAACTAAGGTCAGTTGTTTTCTCCATAATGTGTAGTAAGTGTGTCAAGGGAGATCAGTTCAGATGTCCAGGAAGTACTAGGATTGTAATAATCAAGTCTTTTTTTGCAGGATTGAAAAAATATTAAAAGATAAGATTATGGAATGGAGACCAAGGCACCTAACTCGTTGGAACAGATACTGTACTTCTACCCTACGTAACTTTTTGCCACTGCTGGAGCAAAACCAAGGCAAAGATGTAGAGGATGACCATCAGGCAGAGCTGCAAAAACAGCTAGGAGATTACAGGGTACAGTGGTGAACATACATGGCTTGTGCATAGAAGTAGGAATCTAAATCCCTAGGATTTAGTATCACTACTCTGTGGTGTAGAAGAGCGTCCTAGGCTATTCATTTCCTCTACTACCAAAAATCAGAAGAGCTTTCATATTAAAGACAAACCAAAGTAGTATTTACAGAGTGAAGGACTGAGCATTGCTTGTAGATGTTGAAGACGGTAACTTTCCATTGAACATAAAGAATGCAAAGATAAACTGGCTGCACTGGTCTTGTATTTGTGCTGTACCACGACACTCACTGCCTCCGGTACAGAAACCCGAGCGCACTCTCCCAGCCCTGGGTGCTTAGGGGTTGACTGGTGCCTCAGCTCTCAGGTGTGCTCAGGAAGAACCTGGCACTGGTGCCGAGTAGCACCACACAGTTTACTTACAGGTGCTGGAGCCCACACAACATGCTTTACTTCACTTTTCTACTTTTCCCTCTACTCTTTAGACAGAAAAAAAATTACATAAGTACCTGCTGCAGCCAGCAGTGTACCCATGCATTCTTCCTCGGGGCTGTTCTGCAGGTTCCACCCTCCTGCTCTCCATGTAAAACCCGTGAGGTGACAGTACCGTACACAACTAGGGCAACTTTCAAAATCAGTTGACGCTTCAGTTCCTGTTGGACCTGAAATGGAGTATGGGCAGGAGACATTCACCACCACAAATCCCCAGCCAGTGCAGACAGGAGAACACAATGAATTAAAACCAATTAAGAGGCAGAAAAGGAGCCAAGTTATGCTGTATGTATTTGTTAACATAACTTTATTCTAGTGGATTTCTAAACATCTTGAGACTTAACCCAGGCTAAAGGAGGAAAAATGTCAGAATCTTGCCTGGAGTATATGAAATAGGGAGGTGGTATTAAAATACAGAATAGGCTTTTGTAATTGTTTCCTCAGGCCAACAATAGAAAAGATAAGTCTGCATGCACAGTAAAACAGATTTTTAATAACTATGTGTTTATTTAGGTGCCTTTACCTTTTCTTCTTACCTTACGTGGTTTTTCTTCTTTCTTTCTCCCAGGTCTCTGGATTTCCTATTCATATGCCATTTTCTGAAGTCAGACCTTTAATAGAAGCTGTACACAGCACAGGAGTTCATACCATTGACGTTTGCAATGTTGAATTTGCTCTAGCTGTGTATATTCATGCTTACCCCCAAAATGTTCTCTCTGTATGGATTTATGTTGCTTCACTTGTTCGAAACAGGTAATATAGACCCCTCAGAATACCTTAAGAAATTTGCAGATTTCTCACGCTGCTGATTTGAGCTATCCCAAGTATTTCAAAAATTGAAGATACTACTTACTACTGCTAAGGAACAGACTGACAGCTCAAAATTCCAGTACTAGTAAGTGATTTTTATACCGTATTTTGTAGCTCCCAGAGGGACATTACAGTCTTAAAAGCATTACACATGCCCACGTATAGTGGCATTGCAGAGTAAAATGGTAGAGTTTAGCCACCTTGTTTTCAGGTGAAACTTGATTCCTGGAATCATGTCTTGAAGACTGTTTTTAGCTAGTCAGTTTATTTTATCTACAGATTTTGCTCCTCTTCAAAGCCGCTGGCAAATACAAATAGTTGCAGTTTTCCAGTACCTGAGTTCCTGAAGGAAGATCGGGACTATGTAGCCATGAGTAAATTTCATGTGCCAAAGAGTCATCAGTGAGGGCCACACTTCAGTTTTTAAGAGGCTGCTTCATACTTAGTGTCTGTATAATGCCAGCACCATTTAGAAGTGTAAGATGACATTTTATTTAGAAGTGAAAAGACAAAGTATTTAATAAATATTTATACTAAAACCTAAGTGGAAGCTCATTCTTTTTTGTACAAGAATTTGATTAAATTAATCTGGAGTATGAAATCCTTATCTGCAAGTTACCCTAGTAAAAGGCTATCAAAGGAATAGTTTAGTAAAAATCAGAGTTGCTTATTAGTATTTAAGTAGTGGTGTTAACTTAATACTACTTAATAAATACATATCCTTTTTCTGCAATTACCTTGCTAATCAAACTCTTCCAGGTGGATTCAAAAATGACGGTGGGTTGATCTTAGGAAGAATGTTCATCAGAGCATACCAAAGTTAAGATTGTTCTTAATTCCAAAATAAATTCCATCTGTCTAATAAATACTAGACACGAAGTCTTTGGTTTACAGCCTGGGGTTGCCACCACAGGTTCCCCTCTGTAAACCTCCAGCAGAAAGGAGTAGATGCACTGTCACCCCCTGACGCTTTGTTGAACAACACTGATGGCATCTCCCGAGTTCAGTCCAACTCCCCTTCAGAGAAGGGTGAGGAAGCAGCACAGTAGAAGTGAACACACTTCTGCAGCTGATTCAGTTCTCATCTGCACAGAAACCACCACCTAGCAGCAAGAAGGACAAGGACCTCTAGCCCTGCACCCTGCCAGCCTCAGGCACAAGAGTTTTCGAACAAGGACAGATGCCAGCAAGCCCACTGTGTACCTCCTGACTACTCTCATCTTGCCTCAGCCAGCACTGCACCAATGGCCACGTGCCTACTCTAACCTCTGGGCACCAAAGTAAATTTAATGCAGCTTACTTGAAGCAAGAGTTGCTGGAATAAGGGCATCCTTTTATACCTCTCGTGTAGGCTTCTAACCAAGCACTGCACACTCTGCCTCCAGCCCATGTTCTGTTGTTAACCATGAGCAGCCAACTCAGCACCAACTCTACATTTACTGGTTCGTTTTTTTTTTTTTTTTTTTTTCTTTTTTTTTTTTTTTTTTTTTTTTACCTTGCTACTCTTCAGTATTAGTGGGAGCAAGATGGTATCAAAACTTGAAGCTACCCTATAGCGCCATGACTGCAGTCCTAAATAAATGCTACTCAATTTATCCAAATAGTAAAACAAGTAAAAATTACTAGTTTGACATACTGTCAACCTTGAAAATTAGGAAAGATGGGGGGGGGGGGGGGAAACCTTCTACAAAGGCTGCCACCTACCCCTCCCTCCGCCCAAGAGAAGCAACCTGCAACTGTGCCACTCATGAGCAGGTGCCCACTTTAGTCAGCAACTTGACAGGGGTTACAACACTCCTCCCTTTCAACAGACTCTTCCTCGTGGCACCCCCCCACACACAGTCGGGCACCACTCATACATGACTCAGCTCTCCCCCGAGCACAGGTTTCACTCAGCCCAACAACAGATTCTCTCCCTCCCTGCTCATCTCTACCCTTCAACCAGGCATCTTTTTAAAAGTCAAAGCAATGCAGAAAACTGACTGCTGTCCTGCATGGATTTCATGTTAATAAAACCCGACTTCCTTGGAAGATGTTTCAAAAATGCACCTTAACAGTCATGGGAGGGAAAAAAAAAAAAAAAAAAACCAAAACAACCCCCCCACACACACTGCAAGGTTCACAGGTCTGCAATCACAACAGCCACCCACGCCATCCCTGCAGCTACTGGCATGGTACACCTGGATATTACACCTTAAAAAGCATATATATTCAACTGCTACATTAATTTTTTTATTGGTGGGAATGTTTTATTTGAGTATGTCTTTCAAGCCCAAATACAAAATCAAATGCAAAAGGAAGGTAGGAATTTCCCTAATTTTGCAATATAAAGAACGACTTGAGGATGAGAGGAAAGGGGAAGAAACAAGGCTCCTAAAGATGTGTAATTGTTACCCAAATGCAAACAATACTTTTCAAATTCTCTGCAGAGCTTTATATTGTACTTACAGATTCAAAGTAAACCCCATTCACTTAACACAAAATAATCCAGTAAAGTATATTTAAGTGCCAAACTTGGAAGAAAGTGGCATTAAAAAAAAAATTCTGCATGTTTTCCCATCTTCCCCAAATTAAGTAAAACAAAACCCAACACCCTTCAAAGCAAATGAGATTGTGAGATTGTTACAACACTGTACAGTACACTCATAATTAAGATTTTGAAGTTGTGGGCAGGGTCAGGCTAGTATAACAAATCTCACTCCAAGGATTGTTAACACAAGATGCGAACTGTAAGTAAAGTGCATGAAAGGAAGCCTGCTCAGCTAAATGAAGTAGACAAAGATCAGAAGTCAGCGGTCATTCGCCAGAGCGGCAGCAGGCCCGAAAACCACACTGCAAATTCTGGCATCCACTGGCGGTTTCAGCATGAGGACCTGCACAAAAACAGAACAAATGTGAAAAGAAGAAAAGGCCGTTTATTTAGATTCCATACGCTCGCAGCCTGGTAATTCAGAAAACGTCCCCTCTTTTTTTTTAACACACCAAACTTTATTCAGCCCTGTGAAGTCTGAAACACTGCCAGCACTATCCCAGTACAAAAACTTCCATTGGAACAGTTATTTTTCAAGAGATTTTTGCTCTGATAGCTTGGTCCCATGAAAATAACACGTTCAAAATGACACAGATGTATGATGAACACCACTAAGTGAGCAAGTTTAAGCAAGCTCTCACAGCTAGCTTTCAGAATTGAGGGATATTTTCACAGTGCATATTTAACTCCCATTTTCCAAATTCAGATGATGACTTCACGGCATTACCAAAGAAACCATAATCTCCAAAACTATTTCTACTGTAACAAAGACAGTTTTTTAGTCTGGAAGGTTTTTTTTTTTCCCTCCATGAACACTTCACAGTTGGCTAGATCTCACATACTCTGACTGGAAATTCAAAAGCTAAAGAGAAAAATCACCTTTAGTATCACTGCAGTGATCAGAAGCCAGAAGTGTAAAAACTATCTGTTCAAAAAGGAAGAGTCACGAGCACAGACAGTACAAACCAACACTGTAATTCTACCCACCTCCACTTACCTTCACTTATTGTTACCCCTTTAATTTGAAATGTTAAAGTGATCATGAGATAAGAAACTATTAAATTTATTAGTACAGGATTTTATTTCCTGCAGCCATACGCCTGCTTTAGAGACACAAACATTTACATTCAGGTCGGCTGACCTCTGGCACCCAACATAAATTGGAAGTGGGTTACTGAGTTAACTAAAACAAGCTGATAATGACCCAACCAGGACAACCCAAATTTCCCCCCCTTTGTATTTGAGACAAATGCAATAATATTTAAGGTGGTTTTAATAAATTTAGAAGAGACTAGCAAAATCATGTAATGAACTAGGGCACCATGCTATGTCTGGCTTGTTTTTTCCCCTCAAACAGTAATTTAAAGTCATAATTCAATTAATTTCCAAGAACCCGGTGTCTGGAAATCAGCTTTCTGCTTCGTGCCACACACCAATGGGCAATATTCTACAAGGTAATTAAGTTAATATGCATGAGACTGAATAAAACAAACCTGAATCTATAATGAAAGACAATGGTTACAGTATGCAAAATAGTAAACTCTTAATTTCTCAATAAACTCATTTTCCTTTTCAAATCTGTTTATTCACCCGAACTAAATTTTGATCCTCCAAGCCACTTACGAGCTAGAGTTTGAAAGTTTCTTCATAAATCCTTTAAAAAGGAGACTCGGTGCTTCTCAATAGCTGGTTTAGCAGAACATGTTCTGTGCAGCAGCATTTTCCAAGTCGTAGCTGACCTTCCTCATCATTGTCACAGCTAAGCAGCACATCAGTAATTTTGAAGCAACTGTCACATTTCTAGTAAGACGCTTGTTGACAAAATGTATAGAACCACATCCCAAGAGAATACTCACTATATTTCAATGTTGTTTTCCATCCTTTTCTTGCCTATTTTAAGAGTGTTCTTCCTCATGCTCCCAACTAGAGCACAAAAACTGCCCTTCTAGGTCTGACCAACGATCCGCCCAGGCCCACCTTCAGCACTGGCAACAGCAAGTGTTACCTAGGGAGACTACATGAGCCAGTCGTGCACATCTTTTATGTCTTCCCAGCATCCCTAACCGTTGTATTAGGGACATTCGAGTCCATTCCCTTCAGTATTTGTTTATGGCTCAATTGTGCATGCATTTGTTTAACCTCTTTTTAAACCTGCTGATACTACCTGCTTACGCAATTTCCCACAGGACCAAGTTCCAGAAGTTCACATTGTGCATCTGCTTCAGATCAACCACCTACCCACTTCATCTACTGCCGCTGTGCTCCAGTACTGCAGAACTTGCAGAGTCACTGTTGCACATTCACCTCAGCTACTGCTTTCCCAGTTCTGCAAACAGTTACCCCCCTCTCAGCCTTCGCTTTCCCAGATTCCAGCCTTTGGAGCGTCTCCTTGCAAGACAGCTGCTCAGTTCCCTAACTCTTTTAGCCGACCTCTTCTCTAACTCCATTACACACACTCCTCAAGATGAGGAGACCAAAACTGCATGCAGGACACAAAAGGTGAGTGCCCCAGGGCTGCCAGGAGCATGCAGCAACACCCTCTATCTTGTTCTCAACATCCTGATGATGCGTAACATTGGTGGCTTTTTTTGGCTGCCACTGCAAACAGGAAAAATCTCTGAATTAGCACCAACAGCTCTCTGAAATCATTGTCTCCACACTGCAACTGCCAGCTCTGAATTCAGTTTCATGCAATCACAGTTTGATTATTCCCAACCACCCAGACATATAACCATACATACAGCTGTATTTGAAGCTCGTAAGTCCTTCTGGAAATCTTCAGCACCAGTATTGTAACTTGAGGCAGCCCAGTACCACTCAAACTCGGAAATCACTGTGTGCATTTTTCACACAACAGCAATGGAAATGCTGAGTAAGACTCATCACAGCACAGAACTCTTGGGGGGGAAGGGGTGAGATGGGGAGAAATATGTCACCTCCCAGACTCCAATCCATCCTAAACAGTGACCATTTAGCCCTACCCTTTCTTCCTAACCTTTAATTAGCTTTCAGTT